AAGATGAGAAAATAAAAGGACTGGAACTTTGACTAAACAATTGGAACAATGTTTTTGACATGGCGATCACTTCAACATTATGATAGTAGTATATTGTGATATTTTAAGGATTAAAAATCCAAATTCGTTAACACTAAAAATGTTTATTCAGAGGAAGTATATTTTTGTGCTTAAGGTCTTTCTTAATTTAATGTTATAAAATTTCTAATTTAAAATATCGCCTGTTTTTCTTTTCCCAGGGACTTCCTTTTTCTCTTTCAGACAGAATCTTAAAATAAATTATAATTTTTTATGTATACTTTTATGATTAACATCATTTTTGCATATTTTTAGCTTTCAGAAATTATTTTTAAGAAATAACTTGCTTTTCTTACATACATTTTAAAATTCTAAAAAGTTTACTTAAATAAATTTTTGATTGACTAAATAATATAGTTTTATCATTTTACTTAAACTAAACAAAAACAAATTAATTATAGAACGTTTAAAATTGGATATGATGAATTTGAAAATTGATGATAAAACAACATGCCTCATTCGTTATTTAAACTAATTAATGATAAAAACAACAATCTTAACGCCAAAAGAGTTCTATTGATATTGTCTATCAAAAAAAAAAAAATTAAAAGAAGCTATTAAGAATATAGGTCATCAAATAAAACCAAAATATTTTGATTCAGATTATTATTATTATTATCCGGCATATAGAACGGCAGGTATGATGGAATTAAGTCAGACACTGAAAATTGTGTTTCGTAGGTTTTATAACATCAAAAAATGGATTTAATATAAAATTAAGACTTTGATGAAAATATTGCTCCGTCTGTATATAATTTGGTTACCATATGACACATGATATAAAATGATATATCAAAATTAGAAAGAAGTAATAACATTTGAAGCTGATTCAATTCATAAAGTTATTAATTACTACTATTATTTTTTTACTTAATTTTTCAGACAATTTCGGTAAATATCTGTATTGTTATATTGATTTTGCAATTTATAATACTGGCACATATATCACTTGTGTGCAATGGAAGCATCTGACTTAAAAATAAATAAATAAAGTGCTCATGAAAGGTATAAAGTAGTAATAAAACAAGTCTTGAAGTGTCAATTTTATAAAACCTCTTGAATCTGGTTAATATATTGTTATAAAAAATGAAATAACTTATTGGTTTCAAATCGAAAGTTTTCAACACGTGATATAGAAATTGGATAAAATTTTAGGCCTTTATGCATCAAATGTGCTCGCCTTTTAAAAAAGTAACTATTAAAAAAAATATTCACAGTTATATCTTTAACGTGGAGGTAAAAATAAAGTTGCGTTACTCTAGTGTGTGCAGGGTCCTAAAATATGACAATATTTTAAAAAAGATTCAGTTTGGAATATTTTGCCTATTGAAACTTCTGATCAGAATGACATGTAAATATATGTATTCACAGCGTCACGCAATTATATATGACTAAACAATCTTGACACGGGATTTTTTTTCCTTTGAAATTCCAAAGCAAATATCATATCAAGGAAAAAAGAATACAATTTTTTTCCTAAATAAAAAACTCTTTTTAATGGCTTGTCTTGACAATAAATTTTATTTTCTTAACAGTAAATTTTATTTGCTTCGAGTTTTTAAAGTGAAAAATAAAATAGTGAAAAATAAAGTAAAAAATGGGGGAAAATAAATAAAATTTAAGCAGCTTTATGTATAGCATTTTTCTCATCTTGCTGCAGTTTAATTTATCTAGATTTATATCGAAATTGTCATTTTTAAAACGGAAAATAAAAATATTCAATTGATAAAAAGAAATATTCACATTTTTAAGAAATGATAAATTACAATAGTTTAGATCGGATTAATTTTTTATCCTCTATCAACAGCATTTATAACTTCATCATTAAAATTTTTAAAAATTAATTCTTTACATTCAGAAAAATTATTCATGAAAACTTTCACAAAGTTAATTAGCAGAATTCGACCATCCTATAAAATTAATAATTAATCATATTAGAAATGTATGAAGAAAATTTTTAATTGTCAAAATAATTTTTATATTGCAGCTCTAAATTTTAAAAAAACACACTCACACATTAAGAAATATTTTTTATGTACGGATATTTTGACTGGTACTTGTTTTTATTCGGCATCGCCATTTTTTTCGGATGTTCTTAGCTGCAACATTTTTATAACTACAAATCATTGAAGACGACTATTTTACAAGTCATTCATAAGAAGGCGGCCATCAGTTTCACCCATCTAGATTTGGCATTTGTTTCGCTATTCTGGCGCACACGCTTAAAATTTTTACGTGGCAGTCGATCTTGAACTGATTGGAGGGAAGTTAATCGAAGGCAGGTGGTGTGAGATAATTATGGAGTTAAACCCAGGTAGGAACTTCCGCGGATGGATAGAGCTTTACCCGGGAATGACCTTTCGTCATACAGGCATATGAAGGGCAGATTTGTTGGCTACTCTTTAAGGGGCAATAGGTGGGTCAATGTTGCTCCCACAGTAATGACAGATAGTAGGGAGAATGAAAGAACATCCATGCCTTGCCCGGGATTCGAACCCAGAACCTTTCTGATGCAAGGCCAGTTCCCTGACCCCTACACAGGCCGGACGGCATAATTTTTATATTGTTTTTGTAAAAATGCTATGATATTCAATTTTCACCGAATATCTGGAATTCGATGAATAGCAAATAAAATTTTTGCTAACCAGAAGAAGAAGAAAAAATCAATTTTCGCCGGATCGGCAACCGGCTAATTTACGATCGAGCCGCCTTTAACTACTCGCTCTCTTTTTTTGAAGATTTTCCTGTTGGCTGTAGTTAGTCGTAAATTATATTGCAAGCTAATATTTCTTTTGAAATTTGTTACCTGAATTTAAAAAAAAGTCAAGACTCAAGTTTTTTCTTCTTCTTTTTTCTAAGAAAATGTCAAACAGGAAAGCGGAGTCATTAAATCGCTGCGAGGTACACAAATCCATTAAAATAAAGAGATCCGGTAAATCTTTCTCAACTTAAATTTATACTCTCGATTTTTAATGATATCTTCTAGTTTCCGGTCGTCATTGTAGTAAAATTAACATAAATATTTATCCTTGAAATCTTGATGAAATCCAAGATTATGATTCCTGCATTAAAAACAAAGATACTACGTTTTCATGAACATAAAAAAAAGGTGAATGAACTATATCGTGCGAATCTGATTAAGAGTTGTACTATTACAGAATAATTTAAGGTGTTGTTTTTCTTCATGAATGGCTAAAAAGGGTGGAGCGACCTTTGATTAATGATATTACCTGAAATATACCACCATTATTTTGGGAAAAGAAAAAGGGGAGAATGTTCACCTTTTAGTTAGTTTGGTACGCATAGAATTTTAAATAAAATTAAATACCTGCATGTAATTTTAGTACTATATAACATAAAAAGATACTGGTGTAAAGTCGTTTCTCATTATTGTTGGTGCATTCTTATTGGACAGAAAAATCTTATGATGGGATGTTTAGTTAACAAAAAATTGGAAATCTTTAGCTGTCATCAATATTAAATTAATAACAGTCATAACGGTATTTACTTTTAAATTATTTACCTATCTCTTATATATATTTAACAGTATTTTTAAATCAGTTTTATTTCATTTAAAAATATATTTCATGTACTTTTGTGGACTTCACGTTGACATCATTTGTGGATAGCCTCTTCAACATTTAATTACTCAAAGTTTTAAAATTAGTATAATTGTAATTTTGACATGAACATAATTATCTATTTATGTATGTTCTAATGAAGTTGTACTCGTGTATTCTATGTAGTTGGTATTATGCTGTGTAGGAGATTTATGTTAGGTATTATGTTATATAAAACTTGTACTCTGACCATAAAAGGAAAAGTCTAGTATGCCCTAGATATAAAAATTAAAATACTTATTTTATACTTTATTTATACTTATTTATACTTATTTATTACCTAGATATAAGAATTAAAATAATTATTTTTATTTTAAATCATAGTATAGAAATTTTCATTCTACTTTTATTTTGATGGCTAAACTCATTAAGTAGAAAGTTGAATTGTTTTCTTTTCTTAGACCATTTAGTACACAGTATTCTAAAACATTTTAACAGTTTTCATTTTTGAATAAATAAAAACAATTTTAATAACAAATTACTTTCCTAAACAATTTAACATCAAGGCAAAAAAAGAAAGAAGGAAAGAAATATAGAATGATAAAACCGGTAAATTGCTCAGACTTCAGTGGTTCAACTGTTACGAAATGAGTGGTTAATTCAAATTGCACATTCTGCTTTCTAAATCTGAGTTAATTATTACGACTTGAAAAAATAGATTACCAATCAATCGCAACTGTCATTTATTGATCCAATTCATGCCAAGAAGAATTCGTGAGATCAGTAAAGCATGTTAGGGAGTAATTGAGCTTCAGCATGAAATGCGGGTATTGCTTTCGTCATGAGTACGGGTGCTACTTGATTACCAATCTATTGTACCTGTCATTAATTTATCCAATTCATACCTAAAAGAAATCAAGAGGTCAGCAAAACAGCATATAAGGGAGTTATTAAGTTTCAGCAATGAGTGCGGGTATGGCTTATAATTTTTCAGTTACTAGAGGAATTGTACTATAGTTGTATCATATGTTTTCCAGCACGTTTCCTTTTTAATTTTGATTACAAAGTGACGATAAATATTCGCTTATTTGACGCGTTTTTGTCACGTTAATATTTTGAGCCATATAAAGTCATCCCATATTTTATAAGCCATATAAAATACGGGATAAATAATGATAAAATTTATCAAAAGAATCGAAATGATAGTAGTGAGAAAACTATTATAACTTTTGTAATACCGGATGAATTTATGAATTCCTCTTTTAACACTGGTATATTGTTTTTCTGTATAATGTAAAATTTATCTAAACTTGAAATTTTTAAAAAAATATTTTTGCATTATCGTTTTGCGTATGACTTTTTCTCAATTTTTATTATATTTCCGAGTAATTATTCTATTTTTATACGATTTGTCATATTTCTAATAAATTCGATCATTATTTTTAGAGTTATAATTTGAAAAATATAATATCTTGAAAAAGTAGTGAACGATAAGTTCTTTGTTTATTGCTAGTTGGACATTCAGTACCTATAGTTTAACACATTAAAATGAATTGAATAAAAAACAAATTTCATTAAAATGAATTGGTATTTTAGAAAAAAAAACTTCTTTTGTGGTGATTTATAAGAAAGCAAGTTCTTTTATTCGATGTTTCTTAAACACTGTTCAAAGAAATCGCACTATGAAAATTCTAGTTATAAAAGAATACTTAATAAAAGAAAGGATTTAGAATAAATAATATAAAAGAAATAATAATCTAAAATACAAAAAAAATTAAAGTAATTCTTAAGGAATTTACTTGTTAAGAAAAAAATGCTGGTGAAATAAATTAAAATGGAGAAAAATAAGTACACGGAATTAGAAAAATGAATTTAACAATAGGTACTATGAATTTCCTTCACTTCATACGTATACAATCATTCATTTCATTTTAATCAGAATCAGAAATCTAGGACTCTCCTGTTAATTTCATGCGCGATATATTTTTTTTTCTCTTTTAATAAGAAAATTAATCTCAATTCCTTTCTGTATTTGCATTACGAAATCGATTTCAATGAATTGGAAAATCGAAGCAAGCCAACTATTGATGTTTTTTAAAGCTTGCGTGCAAGGAAACCTCAATAGTGAATATTTCACAAGCTCTAGTGAGGGTTTGGGAATTTCCTAAACAATCTATTTGAATTGTTCAAACGTAATGATTCGGTAAAAATTTAGGACAAACACAAAATAAGAAATATTAGCCTACAAATCGAAATTTCTTCTGCGTGAAATGTTATACTTTTGAACTGAGAGCGTGTATCAATGTGTTATTCTGGTAAATTGGGCTTGGCAACAACCATTTCGAGGATCAAGCTAAATAGATCTTTTTCAACAGTTGTCATACGAATTTTTTTTTTCAAATGAAGGTTCGGTCAATTATGGAAGTTTTTTTGTCTTAGGTGTCTTGTTGAAAATTAAGTGCGTGTTATGCTTACGGAAAGATCAAGCACCAGGTAATGTGGAGTGCTTTTACATTGGTTAAGTAATGTACGGTCAAATTATTGATCACCACAAATAGTTTTATGAAGCATGTTCATGTTGTAATAACAAATTATGCGTGAAATGTTTTATTCATGAAACTTAATACATATTTTAAAATTTAACCACAGCGTGTATATTTAAATGAGAATGTAGTAATTTAAGAAAAGGTACATGCAGATAAATCGTTTGTAGTTACAGTTCAAATGCATGGTTCTTTATTTTTAAATTTGCCATACCCGTACTGGCAATATATATATTGATTCTTACTCACAATGTTGTATTTATGTATTTTGCTTTGGCTGTCTTGATACATTGTTAGAAAGCACTTCTTTTTGCGGATATGGTCGTGTGAGCTGATGAAGAGATCGTATCTTTTATTTTCCGGATTTTTATTATTTTTTCCCCCTCTTTTTCGGAATTTGTTTTCCTCTTGGATTTTTATTACTTTTCTTATTCTCATTTTTACCTTTTTTCATTGTTCGGTAATTTTTTCCATGTTTCCTCCACATTTTGAACTAAGAAGGAGTATATATATATATATATATATATATATAATTNATATATATATATATATGCACTCTTTCCTTCATAATTAATTCTGTAGTAGCAAATAATTTAATTTTTTTAAATTTATTTACTTATTAGGCCTTAGAGTTTAATACTTTCTAATGAAACTCATACTCATCTGCTCCTAATGAGGTATCATTTTCTTTCACATATGATTTTCAATTTTCTTTTTTATGTGAACATATGTTTCTCCCTCAGAGGGCCATAAAAAATTATAAAACATTAACCGGTCCTCGGTGGGAAAAATGTTGGAGAGCACTGGTCTAAAGCACTCTCGGTGACTATGGTTATGAGGTTAGATTATTTCAAGTGGAAATGAGTGGTAAACGTTTAGAATAGAATTTGATTCGGATCAGCGAGATGAATATAAAAAGCTTAATTCTTATGAAATGTGCTTTTTTTCTTGCTTTCATAATTGTTAACAGTCCCATACTCTGTGGTACGAGATGTTCCTTGGTTAGACAAAAAGCAATAAAAAATATTGTTTAAAGTAATATAAGTTATGTTGCTCTTAAAAGTCTATGAAGGAGCATTTAGAGAAAAAAATATTTCATGTTTTTCGCTAGTAAGCGTTTGTGTTACCTAGTATTTTTGAAATACGTATCTTCGCTCACCTAATTCACATGTTGTATGTTGACAAGAATTCTAAATGAAGTAGCAAATTTGGCGTCAGACTTTTTGGAGCTTTCTTGGGTAAGATTGGACTATCACTTGGATATTTTAAGTGAGACTATCAAGTAGTTAGTTTAAAAAAAGTCAACCAAATGTAGCTCTTTTATTCACTGTGTTATGGCGTGTCAAAGTTGGAAATATAATTCTAATTGTTTATGTATTTCTACTCCAACAGTTCAGCTCGGTGGTCACGTCTGGTTGGAATGGAAAGGTATGAGAAGATCTCAAAGATAGGAGAAGGATCTTATGGAGTTGTCTTCAAATGTCGAAACAGAGAAAACGGCCAGCTTGTGGCCATCAAGAAATATGTTGAAACAGAAGATGACCCACTCATCAAAAAAATAGCCCTGAGAGAAATACGAATGCTCAAGGTATTTTTTACTTAATTTATTGTAAATGATTCAAAACTAACATGAGATGATGTACGATAAGCAAAAATAATAATAAATAAATAAAAAATAAAATAAATGGACCACCCTGAATAACTTTTGATCTAATGATTAGATCTTCACGTTACAGCACTCAATCTTAATGAATTGAGGGGTTGACCTCAAAATAGTGCCAACGATATTTTATGTTACTAAATTGAGCAAGAAAACGTATTTTCTCTGAATGAATTTGAGCTCGAGAATTTTTTAAGTGAATTAAAACAAATTTGCATACAATTATAAAATTTGTTTATCAAATGATAATAGCATGCAAAAAAGTAACTTTCAGTAAATAATATATATTTTTTTATTACTTTATTTAATTTTTCGTAAGGTATAGGAATTGTAAGATATAAAAATTTTTACATCATTTTAAGGAATGTAATTTTACATAGCAAAATTTGAGCAAAATCGGTCGAATAGTTCCTGAGAAATTGAAATTTGAAAGCACGATTTATTTTTAAAATTCAATTTTTTAGGAATTATCAGACCAATTTTTGTATTTTACCGTGTAAAATTACATTCTTTAAAATGATGTTGCATTAAAATGATAAATTGTATACCTTAAAATTTAAAATATTTTTGACAAAGTATATTTTATCAAAATATAATAAAATTTACAAAAATTTACCAAAAGTTATATTTTGCATAGAATTCTCTTTGGATACATGAATTTTATAATTACATGTGCAAAAATATTTTAATTCGCTTAAACAGTTCTCGAGATAAATGAAACACGCCAAAAGTAAAATTGACATTAAGGGGTTCAAACTTTGGACCGCTCTCCTAACCAATTGAAACTATATTTCCTAGATTGCAGTTTCTCCTATATTTTGGGGTCAGAAATCCGAATTCACCAGAAGAAAGGTGTGCTTATTCAGAGAAAGTGCGCTTTTATGTCGAATTTCGCAACTTAAAATATCATCTGCTTTATTTTGAGGTCACTCTCTCTGAGTGCTCTACGGTGAAAATCCGATCATTAGATTAACACTAACTCAGAGTGGTTCATTTTTTTTTTTTTTTGCGCACTGCACATTGTTCAAAAATGTGCATGATTAAAAACTCACATTGCAATATGTACTTCAAAACTATGTGCGATTCAAAACTCTTATCACATTGTTTGTTTTTAAATTATGTGTGATTCTAAAATCAAAGGAAATCATATACTTCAAAACTGTGTAGATCAAAACTCTGATCAGAATGTGTGCTTCAAAACTCACATCACATTATGCGCTTCAACTATGAATGATTCAAAACATTCACATTGTATGCTTCAAAACAGTGTTTGTTTCAAAACTCAATTCACGTGTGTTAAAAAAAGAGAAAAAACTAAAAACTAACCGCTCAAACACTTTATAACTCACTTCAAATCTGCTTTTTTTTTTAGAATCATGTAAATTATTCTTTGAATTGAAGCTTTTGGTTTTCAAAATTAGTTCAAAGCATGCTCAGAAACTTAAGAAAACTCTCATTCATAAGCATTTTAATTTGAATAAATATTTCTGATGTGTTTTGGAAAATAATCGGCATCTATTAGTGTTGCGAGAAAGCTTTCACTGTCAATAATTGCAAGTTTTTTGTAAATAGAAGTCAAAAACTTTAACAAACTAAGGAGTATAAAAGTACTTTCAATTGAAATGATTTGAGCGAGAGCCACATGAGTACCAATCATTTTGAAAATAGATAAAATCAACGGTACTTTGCTTATATTTTATTGTGTTTATGTTTTTCTAAATAATAAAAATAAAAACCATGTCCTATTTAAACTACTATGTATAAAATAAAATTTTGAACTAAAAAGGAGAAAATAGTTTTATTTTTAACCAGACATAAAATTGTAAACGACGCTATCAAACAACGTAAGAATGTGAAATTTCCGTGGTGATAAATTTTAATTACGACAGTGATACACTCTGCGTATTTCGTTTTAGATCTGGCATGAAATAAATCATATTTCTTTTTTCTGCTTAAAAAATGAAGTTTTTAACAATTTTATTTTATTTAATTTATTTTTGTCATGTGTCTGTTAGTTTGTTTATGTCAGAAATTAGCCAAAATATTGATTGGCGATAAAATAGAGATAAATTTTGCTTGCAATATTTAGGAAACAATTGTATTTGAATCATCAGTAGGCAGAGCTCTAATCGAAATTTGAGCAGAATCGTTTTTTCTTTTGACATAATCGAAAAATAGTTGTAATTCTGAATAGCGATAAATTCTAATTGTAAATAATTTATGTGGTAGGTTTGAACGAGAGAAACTTTCACTATCACCAAGCAAGAACTAGTTAAGATTTCATCACGCAGGCTAATCGGAAAGTGAACGAAACTTCAGTTGGCGATAAATTAAGTTTAGTGATAAAATGGCAATAAAATTGGCTTGTAATGGTTAGAGAATAATAGAACCTCGCAAATTATTCCATCTCAAAATACAAACGAGATTTGGGTGTTGTTGTTTGAAAAGTGGAGAAGTTTTCAATCTCAAAATTCTATCCTCATACACAAGCAAGCGAGTTAATCGTAAAATTATGCTGAGCTATATAGATAAAGAATTGATTTTTAGGTCAATACAAAACAATCAAATTCAATTTATTTGTTTTAATATTTAAGAAGGGAGTAGAAATTATTGCATCTAATAGGTTTAATTTTACAAGATGAGTTTTTATTGGCTGAAATATAAGTACATTTGAAGAGGAACAAAAAACGTTTAGTATCGCATGCATCGCAATTTCTAGTACACTTGGAAAAATGCTCCCCAGTAAGCTTAAATATACTTAAATAATCTCGAAATTGAAGCAGAAGCATATTATTTGTTTAAAACTTCACTCGCTTCAAGAACATATAAATCAGAAATAACAGTCGATGTATTTCAAGAGCTCAAAAATAGGTGTCACTCCTGGCAAATCTTGAAAATGTGCGCCTATTTTTGAGTGCTTGAAACACATCGACTTAAATATGCTTACTCAATTAGTTTTTAAGTAAAATAATGGATGGGATAAAATTTTATAATGTTTTCACTGATTAATTAGGTCAAAATGGTTAATCCATACACAAAAAAACCCTTATATCATATCAATTCCTACACTGCACAAAGTTTTTGAACACCAAAAATAGTGGCAACTGTTTTACAGCAAAGTGGTATTTCTTTATTTGATCCCCTACATATTTGCTGTGTAGTGAAACACTTAGTTTTCATTACACACAAATTTATAATCTCAATAATATATGATAAACATAAAGATCAATAAAGTTACTCTTACGATACAATCTGAAGCAAGAATCAAAATTTAGTATGCATGTATACAATATTTCATAAAATAAAATTTGTTTCTTAATCAAACATACACTCAGCATAGACAGAATTTCAGTCTTAAGTTTAATTTTATTTCACTATGTTTATTTCTACAGCAACTGAAGCACCCTAATCTAGTGAACTTAATAGAAGTTTTCAGAAGAAAGCGAAAATTACACATGGTATTTGAATACTGCGAACACACTGTATTAGATATTTTAGAAAAACATCCAAACGGGTAAGCAGTTTATTTTTAAAATAAAGAAATAAATTATACTAAATTTATGTTCTAATATTGTTTAAATTATTATAGGGTACCTGCATCTTTGACGAAGAGAATATTATGGCAAACTTTGCAAGCAATTAACTTTTGCCATCAGCACAATGTAAGTTATTTTTTGCATTGATTTAATTTGGTGTACTTTCATTTAAAGTTGTACTTTCATTTCCTTTCACTTTCATTTCATTTAATAGTTCAATTTCATTTTATTTGAAGACTAGAGAGAAAATATCTCTTTTAGAATTAAAGGAATCGATTAGTATTTTTTTCTTGTTATTAATATGTTATTTTTAAATTAACATTTATCTCTAATTACGTGAACATAACAGTTTCTTTTAAAGTTGAATATGTCTTCAGCATAAAAAGCAATAAAGGGGAAAAAATAATAATTTACCGGCATAATTTTTAAAATTTTGCTAAATTTGGTTTAAACTCATTAACGGAAGGATACTTACGATATATAACTTAAATTGTTTGTGCATTTTTTCAAAAAGCTGGAGAAAAAATTAAAAATCAAGACTGTTTTGAGATATTATAAACATGGTTTTGAAATCGAAAAAAATCTAAAGTTATAACTACAAGCAACATACGATTTATGCAGCAAATTTATACAGTATGATTTAAAGCCTACTTTTAATTATGATTGATATTCCAGGGTTAAAAAATCAGAATTAATTGATGAATTAATGATCCCTAACTATTTGGCTACAGTTCCAAAAGAAGCGAGTTTTAATGTAATTTAATTTGATTTAACAAATTTTTTTTATTTTGAAAGAATTAACTTCAGAAAAAATTGCATTTCAATTAAATGATCGGATACGTTTTTTATTAATATGTTTCTACACCAAAGAGCCATTACATTATGACCACCCTGCTAATAACATGTAGGACCACCTTCAGCCCTCAAAACTGCTAGCACCCGCCGTGGCATTGATTCCACAAGGTGCTGATAGGTAGTCTGAGGTATCTGGTACCAAGCGCTCACCAACTGGTCCTGCAATTCCCTCACATTGCGAGGGGGTAGCGTGGCAGCACGAATTTGGTTTTCCAAGTAGGACCACAAATGCTCTATTGGATTAAGGTCAGGTGAATTTGGGGGCCAAGACATGACTTGAAAGTCACTGGAATGTTCCTCGAACCAATCCATGACGATTCGACCCTTATGACATGGTGCATTATCCTGTTGGTAAACACCATCCCCCGCAGGAAAAACTGTTGCCATGAATGGGTGAACCTGGTCTGCAACTATGTTCAAGAAGCTTACAGACGTCAGGGATTGTTCTATGAGGATTATGGGTCCTAATGTGCCCCTTGAAAACATTGTTCCTGGGGAAGAGAAACCATGAAAACCTGGGCGAGCCCATTGTGATAGATGGAGGGTGGTCATAATGTAATGGCTCTTCTGTGTATATTTAGGAAGAGAGTTATTGTATAGCATTAATCATATAATAGTTTTTACTTACTTCTATCAGGCTCATTTTTTTACGTTTTTTGTAACTTCTTTGTTTATTGCTCAAAAATCATAGAGTGATAATTAAGTATGATATACAATTTTTTTTAGACATGACGGGTAAATATTATTATATGGTATTTTGTTCTTTTATATCATTAGCAGCTTGTCTTAAAGCTGATCTTTATTTTTTAGTGTATTCATCGAGATGTAAAACCAGAAAACATACTCCTTACGAGAGATGGGATTGTTAAACTTTGTGATTTTGGATTTGCCAGAAATTTAAGTATGTTACAAATTACAAACCTATTCAGAAATCAGAACCTTTTATTTAAATTTTTTGCAATCATTTGTAAAAAAGTTAGGTCTAAAGTTTGATTTCATTTCGCGTAATATAATAAATATATTGAACTTATGATTGAAGATAAGCCAACCGGCCTGTGGAGGGGTTAGGGAACTGCATCAGAAAGGTTCTGGATTCGAATCCCGGTCAAGGCATGGATGTTCTTTCCTTCTCTGTACTGTCTGTCTTACTGTGGGAGCAACGTTGACCCACCTAATATGGTGCCCCTGAAAGAGTGGTCAACAAATCTGCCCTTCATATACCTGTATGATCTAGGTCATTCTCCAGGTGGGCATTGGAAAAAAAAAGAAGAAAAAAAATGATTGAAGATAATTTTCTTCAGTAATATCTTGCTAAAATAAATTAATTTTAAACCCATAAACAATAATTTTAAACCCATATAACCCATAAACACCTTTTTGTCTTTCAAATTGATATAATTAGTGATATTTGTATTATTATTTTTACCAATTTATAATAATCATTATTTCTACTTTAAGTTTTCTAAAAATAGACTACATTTTCTTTGGGATCTCAGAAATATATTTTTTAATAAAATATTACTTTATCTCTACATTTTATTAGAAATTCCCCCGCACGTTGAAAAACAATATTGTACAAATTTTTTGCAACTTTAATAAAATGGCAAGTTCAATGATATGTTATCAAGCTCTCAAACCATCTTCAACTTTGCAGCACAATATTACAATTCAATTCGGAAGGGTACATGGTTCTAAGCAATGTTTTATTAAATAAAACTGATATTATGGTGCAACTTTGGACTGATTTTTATTCAAATATACTGCTTAATTAAACTACTTTAAAAAATAAATGTGACTAAACAAGAATAGGAAAAAGGCAAGCAAGTGAAAAACACAAGTTGGAGTAAAGATTTACTTTATTTTTTTACTAATATTTTGATTTGTAAAAGCTTTATATGATATTTGTATTATATAAATTTCACAAAATGTTTGAAAAACAATCATTTAAAAAAACTATTTTCTAAAAGAATACTCATGATCATTAAGGTGATATAAGGGCTTTTTCTACTGCGGTAAAAGATAGAGAGAATTGAAATTAGCACGGCGTTTTTATACAGTGTTTTAATAATACAATAACGCTTTCATAATTTAAAATTTATCTGTTTTCTCAATATGTTCGAGCTTTCATTTGAAAAACGTTTGACGAATATTACTTCATTAGAAACTTCATTCTCTTCAAAAATATGCAAATTGTAAGAAAATAGTTGACATGCTTCAAGCGCTTAAAAACTGGTGTCCCTTTTCAAAATTTGACATGAATGAGAGAAAGCAAAGTGATTTGAAATTGAAAAAAATGACAAATATGTTTCAGGCCCTGGTGCAAATTATACGGATTATACGGAAAAAGCAAAGTGATTTGAAATTAAAAAAAGGACAAATATGTTTCAGGCCCAGGTGAAAATTGTATGGATTATACGGAAAAAGCAAAGTGATGCGAAATTGAAAAAAAAGGACAAATATGTTTCAGGGCCCAGGTGAAAATTATACGGATTATGCGGAAAAAACAAAAGTGATTTGAAATTTAAAAAAAGGACAAATATGTTTCAGGCCCAGGTGAAAATTATACTGATTATGTGGCCACTCGCTGGTATCGAGCTCCAGAACTATTGGTGGGAGATACTCACTATGGACCTGAAGTCGACGTTTGGGCAATAGGATGTGTGGCGGCGGAATTAATACGTGGAGAAGCACTATGGCCCGGTAAATCTGATGTTGATCAATTGTACCTAATCCGCAGAACTTTAGGTAAGTTAATTTTTTTTTAAAGAAATATATGGCATTGCTATAAAACCATAAACAAACCATGTTCTTTTGCTACAAGCACTTTAAATACAACATAAATCTTAATGAATGCGAATGAAAATTCTTAAATAAACAAACAAGAGCGCAAAACATTTATCAGAAATAATCTCCAATTAAAAAATGATTATCAAAGGTTTTAATCAATTTAAAATATAACTTAAAGAGACAGAAAATATGTTTTTTAAAATTTTTTAATAAATATACGCAGGTGTTTTAGAATCATGAGATATACTATATCTGCTATTTTAAATTTGATAATTTTTACTAATTTTTACTGAATTTAACTAAATTTTACTAAACATTCTCAAATTTTTTTCTGAATGAACAATAAAATTATTTAAGCAAATATTTAATAGATTATCATTTCTTTGATTTAAACATTGGATTCAGCCACTACTAAATATTTTAAAAAATATAGCAAAAATATTGCCCTTTCATTGCTGGGAAGTAAGTTTCACTGCATTTATAGTTTTAGTGTAAGAAATACACTTTTACAGTTCTCTTTCGGTCTTCGAGTTTGAAGGGTTGTTAACATAATTTTTTGGTTTTAAGTTGCCTAAATGAATACTATTTAAAATTTTGTATTTCTTTGGACAGCATACTATCGTGCAATTTCGGTAAACTTTATGAGAGTGTTAATTTTAACCAAATTATAATGTCTAGTAAACCATCTCGAATTTAATTGCACCATATAAATGATTCAATTGTAGAGATGGTGCGATCAAATTATAAGTCACACTTTTTCGAAAGGTGAAACTTTTACATCCAATGATTCCTTGAAAATATTTTCAAAAAGGTTCTTTACAAGTTCTTAAATACTTACATAGCACAGCAATACGCAAACTGCATTTCCGATTGATTCGAACAGTTTTCAATTTCAAAAAATTTATTTTCGAATCACACAATCTTTGGGAACAAATTCTTCAACTACAATAATTTTAACTTGTTTTTAAAAATTATAAAAATTTATTTAGTCACATTGTTTTATTCATGTAAAAAGTAAAAAACTTAAAGGGGAATTTGGGTACATCCTAAATATATTCTCTATAATTGATCTGGCTATTAGAGTTCATTTGCAACGGCACTATTATTCCTCCAAATTCTTTTAATTTACTGTCATTTTGAAGTTATCTAGTAATTTTTATTGAAAGTTGCAGCTCTAGACATAAAAAAAGTACTACAACTACTCTTGTCCCCCCAAACAACAAATTCATAAGTTTGTTTGAGACTTTAATATCTTAATTTTTTTTTCTTATTTCAATCTTAGTTTCTAATTTGTAAATCATTTAAATTGGAAGTGTAATGCTTTATTCGTATGGGTAATTCATAAACATCATGAATATGATCCACGACCTTTAACTCGTAAATCACGTGAATACGAATCTCAATTTATGTAAATACAAAAACAAAAAAAGTTTTAGAAAGCAACACCTTGATTGCAAAACTCATTAGGATTCAGTTTGTGATATAGTATTAGAGAAACAAATGGTTTGATTCGACCTTTGTTGCTTTATAATTATCACTCATTTTTTTAAATACCAGCTATAATCAGAGGTAATTATACTATTTTGCTTTTAAATAGTAGCTATATATTTTTAACTATTTTATTTCATAATAATTTAACTTTAAGAAGAGAAAGAGTGCAATTAATGATTGTACTCTTAGGTAAACATCCTCGATCTCCAATAAATCTCTGTTTCGAAAATTTCGCGAAAAAAAAGGGTTCTGGTATAAAAAAAAATTTAAGATCAGTCAATATTTATTCTTCTAAATTCATTTTGGGTTCAACATAAGCGAAACTAGTGGAAAAGGTAGTGGAATTTCTTATTTCAATTACTTTTTTTTTCTCTTGAAAAAATTATTTTTGTTGTTTTGCTGTACTTTTTTTTTTCTAACGGAAGAAAATAAAGGTAAATAAATCACTTTTAATAGCATACAATTTCTAATTTCAGTTCCAAATGTTTTGAATTTCTTCAGCGACAGGTTTTTAGCACGCATGAAAAAGTAGAAATAGTTAATCTGAAGTAAAAAAACAAATAAAACAATTCAAAAATATCAATACAATTACATAATTTTCAATAAATATAACGAATTTATGCAGGAAAGTTGAGTATTAAAGTATTTTTCGATTTTCTATAACATTTTTCATACGTATTTCTTATATTTATTTCCAGTTTTTTGGGAAACAGCGGCAAGCAAATCTTTATAAAAGAAATTATAATTTTCAGCCATCACTTTTTGAACTACTTATTAAAATTAATTTATTTTCCTTTACACTTTCAGAATCAAGCATTAATTTAAAAACCTTTGTGTTTTAACCTCCGATGCATTTCAATACAACCAGTAGATGAACAAAAATCGTTATACTTTAAGCCCTACTTACAGAGTGTTTCTGCATTTACCACCAACAATATACATGTCTGGAAACTTTTCTTAAAAAGGAACTATATTCTATTGCAAGTTAAGAAAAAACCATTATCCTTAGGGAGGGAACCTGTTTACATCTAAGTGGATACTAAATTCTTTTCACGAACATATATCAACATCGTCAACTCTTGAAACGACATTGCACAGCATTTTGCTAGCTTTCTTAAAATAGGGAAAAACGATGAAAATAACTCTTATTGAATAAAAACTATCAGCTTGCTAATAAAAATTGATAAAAATGGCATCTAAAAATCGTAATAAATATACGTCTTTCTGCTCGCATTTAAAGAAACTCGTGGAAGAAGAATAAATTTCTTGCAGACGATTTTCTTCTACAGCAAAACAAAAGTTTAAAAAAAATTTCCTTATCTTGCATTTGATTTGTTACGGGCACGTCAGCAAGAAGCGCCAGTTTCAGTGGTCCAATCAAATCCTGTGTTCTTGCAAAGTCATATAGTAGTTTCTTTTTCAAGTACAAATGTTCGCCTTATTTATTGAAATAAATTGCCAAGTCTAGGATTCCAATGATGCTACGAAACTTAAACCCTTTTTTATAATTCTAAGATGTATATCGTAAAAGATGCATGAATTAAATTTCTTACCGATGAGTTTAACTTTTTAAAGTTTGTATATTGTTTTGAAAGCGTATTTATGTAGTTTGAAAACTAAATAAAATGAAACTATATGCAGTCGCAGATAATTAAAAACTATACCTTAATGGTTTTTTCTTAACTTACAGCGGAGTATAGAAAGAACACACACATTGAAATTCGATAACTAGTATTTAAGCGATAAAAATCATTTTTAAAAATACCTTTACATTTTTTCAACAAACTAGTTTCGATGTTTTTTTTAATTTTATTATTATTACATCTCCCTCAATAGTAATTATTTGTCTGGTTTTCCTTACATGATTTTTCCTTGCGTAAGCATTAACTTGAGACACTAACATTAGTACTTTTTCTTTAATTTCATTTTTGCCAAGTACTTTAAAAAATTTATAATATTGAAGAAAGATTATGAAACACATTGTATACCCAGAGGAAAAAAGTATGGTCAAAACTACAAGAATATGGTAAAATTCACCATGTTTCGGGCTCTATGGCAGCACCAAAAAGTCCTGTAATCTTTACCGAATCGCTTTGGTAGCGATTTTAGTAAAATTAACAATAAAATATGGTTTTAAAGTAGGTGGTAAATTAGGTAATTTTGTCATGATGCCTTTACCTTAGAGCATGGCATAAAAACCATTAATTCTGTTAAATTTTCTTTTCAGTTTTGTATTTTTTTTTACAAAGTGTGTGATAATAAGAACTATAATTTTGAAAACCAGAATTTCTCACAAACCGTTTCCATATGAACGGAAAAATTACTATTTAATTATTTATACACCATTTATTTTGGATTTATCGACCAGAATTGTTTTTTTTTTTTTTTACCAGGACTGTCATTTTACAGTGCGGTAATTTTACCACCATTTTTCTCTTCGTTTGCAGAAAAGCAACTCACAAAAAAATAAATAAATAAATAAATCATTGACATTAATATTTATTATACTTTCTCGGGTAAAATCAAAGAATAATTGTATATTATTTTTTCTTAACTACTATAAGGAACTTTCGTTAATTACGCCTTAATTATTTACGAAAAAAAATTTGAATTTGCATCGTTTACGCCTCACTGTCGCATTATGAATGATAGTTTGTTTTTATAAAAAGCAGCTGACATATACATTGATTTTTTTTTCTTCTCTCATTTGTGGTCATAGCGTGATTTATGTTAATAAAATTCATCAGAAACCAACAGAAGGCGAGCATTCACCTGCATTAAAAGTAGGTCGTTTAAACAGAATAATATAAATCAATTTTCATTGTTTTGGTTTTCTGCTTACGAGAACAGATCAATGAACCCTAATTATACGATATTTCGTTATTTTCATAAGAAAAGATAATCAACTTAGCTATTTTCTTCAAGCACAACACTATTTTTTGAAACGATGTTTGAATACAGTAACAGATATTACTTTTATCCATTATACAATTCCACTTCCTGATTCGTGCTATTAAATATTTTAGATACATTCGTGATAATAAATATTTTAGATACAGTGTTTATCCTTTAATATTAAATAAGTTTCATTTCCTAAACAAAGACATTTGCGCCAAATATTCGTTACTTTTTTGGGATATTTAGTAATGTTCCTTTTTAAACATAAATTTTTGAATTGTCAAATTTTATATGTACTATTAGTTAGTTTAAATCAGGAATTATTTAAAGATTTATGCAAAACTTCGATATTTTTTTAAGTGTTTGAATTTAAAAGCTGCGGTAATTTTCAAATTCGTAATTTTAATACATAGAAACCCTTGCACCATTATATTGGAGACTTTTATGTATGAATATAATATCTATAATACTGTCTCATATGAATATTATACGTATAGTACAGTTACATATGAATATGTTATATACCGAACTATAACATGTGAATATATTGTGTGTAGAACTGTAACATAAAGATACATTATTATGCTTTTTAAACAATTTAGTAATCATAAAATTTAACAAGACGTTTTGAATTTATTTTAAAATCTAGAAACTTCTCTAGCTAATTTTTATTAAAACTTCAATAAATATTTTATTAAAACTGTAATAAATATTATATGTAAATATGACAATTATATATGAATATGCAACCATCAAGTTTTATGCATGGTTTTATTTAATATTAAAAATAAAAATATTATTTATAAATATTTATTAAACATTCTGCAAATATTTTTTTTTAATTCAGAAATCTGTAAACAGTAATATTTATGAGTCGTTATTTTACAAAGATTGTTTTTGTAACATTTATTACGGATTGTTATGTATGAATGTTTTATGTATAAATTATGTAATACACGACATAATAGTAATTTTATATGCCAAATTAATTCATAGTAGGTAGTATATCTTAATAAAGTCATATGAACATGTGTATGTTATTATTCAGCGCAATTTATTATAATAAGTGGCGTGATTAATTCACAGTTTAAACAATGCAATATATTAGGGTTTTCATAGAGAAGGCCTACAATATTCAATTTAATTATTTGTAATTTTATTATTTTTCCAACTTACTTATTACGGTTCTAAAGACAATGCTATTTCTGTTTATTTTGTAAATATTTACACAAAAAAAAAATCAAAGTTTTATTATGCATATAACGAAGACTGCATACTGTTATTTAAATTCTGAATCTATTACCGAAATTAAGCATAATTTTAAATTCATAAAAATTCAGTTTAATATCTAGCACTAATTTACTAGAAGAGAAATAATTAAAAGCTTCATCATTAGTTTCTTCTATTTAGAAAAAGTTCCATTAAATGATAAAAACCAAATAAATCACATTAAAAACTTGACAAAATATTATAACAAGCCTTAAAAAACACGATTAAAATCATTCATAGATTCAATTTATTTTTATTTTAATTTAATTTATTTTGCTGCTTGCAAGTTGTATGGAAATAGTATAGATTTTATTGTTTCAGTTACTTTGAATAAATATCAGATTAACCTAGAAAATAATTATTTTTTTCAGGTGAGCTTACCCAAAGACATTTGCAGATATTCAAGAAAAATGATTTTTTTAATGGTGTTTCAATACCTGATGTGGACGTTAGAGTAAGTTGAATTAATTTTACGCTATTATCATCATAAAAAAGTAGCTATTAGTAATTAATCATGCTTTATAAATTGGAGTAATTATTAAACATTAATATTTCCCAGTCCATCTATAATTTCTTTTAAGCGAATTATTGAAATTCCATATTTTAGTGGAAGAAAATTTTAAGGCTGTATTTTTAAAGGCTCCGTCGTCTCATAAAATACTTTTTGGCTATTAATATGCTATTTTCATAACTACTGTCAGTTGGCAACAGTTCTGTTAGTCTGTTTAGCCTATCTAAAGCCAGCGCTGTCTATGCTTATTCTGAAAATTGCACAAAACGTCAATATGAATGAAAGCCACATTTTTATGAAAATGAAAAGGGTTTGTTGTCTAATTTTTTAATATTTAAAAATTTCCTCCAATGCTGAATTATCTGGGCTTATAAAAATTTGCATAAACTGAGAATATGGCAGCGATGTCGCCTAATTAGCGATTTTTAAAAAAAATTTAATAACTTTTGAAATATTTAAGTTATTTGTTAGTTCTAAAGCACGCACAGAGAATTCTTCACATATTATAAAGTTTAAAATCATCGCTTTGCTTCGAGTTTAAGGCTCTTAAACTGTAGCTTTTTTTATTTTTCTTAGCGACAGATCTTCAAAAAAGCATATTAAGTGACATTTTCGGAGAAAAAAATATATCTTTTTGGAATATCTTATTTTGGTCTTGTTTAATTAATTGTACAACACTTATTTTACTAAATCATTACAATTCAGAGATTTCAGTGTATGAATGTAAAAAGTGACAGACTTTAATAGGTGTTCATGGAGAGGGAGAAGCTTCTAAGTACATTTATCTACAAACAGTTGGCATTCTCTGAAAACCTCTATTATGGCAATACCAAGAGTGTGAACGTTGAGGAAGTGAATGTTTATAAATTTCGATAGTTGGAAGCTTACGGATAGCAAATAACGGCGAGATATAATCTCTATTTTTTCCTATACAAAAACAGCTGCATCTAAGCTCAAAGCAAATTTTTTCATATTTACTGAAATTTAACTTAAAACCACCATCCACTTATTTCAACTAAAAAGAAGATCTCCAGCGAAAATTTGCTTAAGAGAAGAATACCTAAAAACAAATTATTATTTTTTTTCGAATCTAAAATTTTCCCATTCCATGAATCTCGACAAAAAGCAAAACATGCTGAGCAATCACTGTTCGGTATTTTTTTTAATTATGAAAATTGGTGGAAATATGTTTTAACTATAAGCATTTCTTTAAAAAAAAAATTAATGTTCCACATTTCTTAATCAATATTCACTAAAATTTTTGATTAATACCCGCCGATTAAAATTTGGGAAATGTCATTACCATAATTCTAAAGCATCGTTATGTTCCATAAGATTATGAGAGTTACTTCCCTAAAACATTTAAGCATCTGCAGTCACAAATTTAATAGATTTCACCGGGTAAAAATTATCGAGCTATATGAAATAGAAAAATGTTCTTCAAAAACTGCCGAGTCAAAAATTTTGCTCAAATTTAAAGAGTTATTAAGGACATGCGAATTTGGTTTAATGCTATGCTCGATATGCTTGCTATCAATTGCTCTAATGCATAGCAGGTGACACTCATGGAGATGTTGCGGTGATGCTTGGAGTTTGTGATGCGTGGAGGTGTTGCGTTTTAGGATTATTTGCATGAACTTTGTCTTAGCTCCATAAGGCCGTAAGGGTTAAGATCTGGAGGAAAGACCATTAAATATACGCTCAGAAACGTTGCAGTTCGATATCTTCACCTAAAAACGAACTTCACTAAGAATGCACATGCTCGAAAATTTCTACGTACTCTCTTTCAATCGCAAAGGTTTAAATGAATTTCGCCTACGTTTTACTAGCTAATAAGATTTTTTTCATGTAGATTGTCACACTATAAATGCAAATGATAGTGAATCATTTGAACTTATCAATTTCGATTAAATTTAAATAAAGTTCGAAATGTTTAGAAAATTAACAGTTCACTCATTTATTCCATTTCGTTTCACTTTTTAAAATTAGTCTTGATGGTTATAGATTTTTTGTAAACGAGACATTGAACTATATTTTTTCTTTAAGGAATTATTGTTTTTATTTTCTACTTTTAGTTTTCCTTATATCATGAATAACCAATAAAGCACAAAAATGTGCATTATGCATCATATGACACAATTAATCAATGTAACACAAATGTTCACTTAACTTCATAATTTTCTTTTTTTCAGGAAGCACTTGAAAGCAGACTTCCACACAACATTACAGCAGATGAATTGGATTTCTTAAAAGTAACTTAAAAAAAAAAAAACTATAAATTCAATTTTTAGTTTCTATGATTATAGATTCATGTGTTAAATTATGTTATCTTCTAAGGTAAAAGTAACGAGGAAAAAAACTCTACATTCATTTTAGGAGCTTGCAAATTTTGCACTGCGCACAGTTTATATTGTAGAATTGTCTTTGAATAATTTTGTTAAAGTTTTGTATATGTGTTTCGGTGTTGTGGAAACAGTGGAGGAAATTTTCTATTGTCTCCCGTAATATGAACCTAATAACCTATCATTTTATTTTATTTTATAACTGTCGTTGAATAGCCCACCCAATTTTGGGTTTAAGACTACTAAAGTTCAACTCCGTAGCTTTGCAATTTGGAACCCAATCCAGAGAAAAGGGAACTCCTGGATCAAGTATAGGGAGAAATTTGCTCTCGTGGAGAACTTTTTGATAGAACTAACCTTTACCGGAAGAGCATTTGCTTTACAGGGAGGGGAAAACCACAAAACCCTCCCACGGTTAGTCTGAGAGCAAGGGGACTCTAACCCATGATCCGTCTATCACAGAGGCTATTTTACGTCATCACTGTGATCGGTACGGAATACGTATCAACCAGCCATCCCTGGAATTCGAACCCGTTTCAGTATATTAGAAGGTGAATGCCCTATCCCCAAGCCACCTCGGCTTAATAACCTACCATTGATAAAAATTCATCAAATCTATCATTGACAGATAACGAATACACACAAAAGTTAGAGAAATCCCTAAATCTCAGACGGCCATTAAAATCAAAATATATTATTTTCAAAATAATTCTGTAAATAGAGGGTGTTTATATTCGTTTTCAATTTCAAACTTCTCCTGTTACATAAAACAAATAATGTTAAGACAATTTTAGGGTAACAAAATAGTCCAAAACAATGGACTGTAAATGAAATATGTTACATCGATTCCTTGCGAGAACTAAATTAAGCAATGTTAGTTTGATGCGTTTTATATTTAATTTATTTATTTTTACTTTTTATATAAATTTTCATGATTAATTTTCATTATCTAAATTAAATTAATTTACATGTTGCAAAATTTCTACATCTTTAAAAACTCTTTCATTAATGTTTACGTACAATTTTCTTATTTATAGTTTCATACAAATTGTTCTTGTAAGAATATGTTTCAATTTCAAAATAGTTAATACAAAACTAACTAAACAATAAGATTCTTCATATATTACATATATACTCAACTTAACCAGACAATTTTTATTGTAAAAATTCAGCTTAATAAAAATATGATTTTCTTATAATTGAAGTAGCAAAAAAAATAAAAAAAATCCTTAATTTTTTGTCTGGTTTTGACGAAGTTTCAATTCCACTTTTTAATTTTTATTAGAAACAAGTTTAGAAATGTTCTAAAAATGAGTGTCGGCCTCCCCCCTCCCACCATTTCTTTGTTTGCTTTTTAATACGAAAACTAAGATGAAAAATTATCCATAGATGCAGCATGTTGTTGCTGCTAATCGTTGTCTTAATGGATTAAGAAATTTTCTACAATTAAAATTATTAATAAGGAAAGCAAAAATCACGTTATTAAAAACCATGGTTAGATCTGTACTCACAAGTGGTTCAGAAACCTGGGCAATGTATAAATCACATGAAAATCGACTATATTTCTAAGCTCTGCTTTTTAAGAGCAGAGTTTAGAAAAGGAGTTTGGATACCATGAACATCAATGGTTCATGGAGGCACATATACAATATCAATTATATATGCTATATAAAGAGGCAGATATTGTCACTACATTAAAGTAAACCAATTCAAATCAGCTGGGCTTACCTGTCAAATGACCAATCCTCCTTAACATCTATAACTTTAATTTTAAACCAATTGGAGACCGAAAGGGAGGCACGCCCAATCTAAGGTGGGTTAACTGCATTAAAGAGAATTTCAAAGCACTGAGAGTGAATAATTAGCAAAATAAGAAAACGTTGTAAAGAAGTCCTTGGCCCACAAGGGGCTGTCTAATAAATGAAGAAGGAGAAGTGCTATTTTCATTACATAATTTGTTGTATTTTTAATAATCGATGTTATTAAGCAACTTCAGAAGGAAGAAATTAAAAAGCTTTCGTAACTTCTTGAGTAACAGCAGATTTTGAAATCTTCGTTTTTATTTATACTTAACGAGAAAATTTATAATTTATAAGAAATGATTAGCATTTTAATTTTTTTCCAAATAATGTTTTTCTTTTTAAGTTATGATCTTTTTACAACTTCTCAACTGTATTTTTTCTAAGCCATTTTATGTTTTAAAAAAAAATATATTTATTTATTTCTTACCTAGATAGAAAAAAGTAATCGAATATTTCATTTCAGAAATGTTTGGATAAAGATCCAGAAAAAAGATACAACTGCGAGCAACTTTTTCGACATTCGTATTTTGATGGTTTCAATAAATCTGATTTTGAGAATGAATCAATGTCTTCAAAATATCGAAGAGATAAGCTAAAGGTAAGTTTTTATCTAATTTTACATAAAAATGTTGGATATTAAATATTAGAGTTGATTAAAATAAATTATTAGTTTTATAAGTAAATTTAAATCAATGGCTGAAATCAAATAAATTAGTAGAAACTAAATGTTCCTTCGTTAAAACTAAATATGATTTATCAGTTTGCTCGACGTATTAATCACGGATAGAAAAAGTGATTTTAATCTCAGATAGGCTGATTTGCTATGCGAATAATTATCAGTGATACGAATAAAATAAATTCATTTATTAAGTTTATTTAAATCATAGAAATAAGGCAACACTTTTTGCTTTAATCAATGTATTCTGAGCAATTATTAAAATGTCGAATAAAAACAGTAACAGAGTGTGGAGTTGAAATTAAGGGTCAACATTGAGTTTTTGAATAACTACGGTATTGAATCGGAAAATCAACGAATATTTCAAAAATAAAAGCAGTTGATTACTCGCAAATTTTTGGAATTTAAGATTTGTGGAGTATTTTTTATCAAAGGGTTTCTCCTTAAAAGATGGGAACCATAACATTAACAGCAGTTTTTTATGAATTCTTTTGACATCAGTGTTATTTCACGAAATATTCACTGCTTAAGCAATACACGCTTCTATTTAAATAAAATTAAGAATATGTAACAATTTTTTTATCGAATGTTAGGACATCGAATTATATACGAGTAACATTTTGTGATTGGCTGAGAGACAAAATTTACAGAATAGAAACGAAAAAGTCTTTTTGTAGAGTTAATATTACTTCATTCAAAAAGTATCTTTATTCGGCGGAATCTCACAATTATCAATATATACATATATATTCGTTTTTCTTAATCGTACAACTAATTTTAACTAATTAATTTATACTTTGTACACAAAATAAGTGTTAAATATATATTTTGTAAAACAATAAGATCATCCTCTTTTATTTGATTATCGTGTTCAAGCTTGTTCCTCTTTCCCTATTGGATAAATCATTTTTGTCCTCATTACAACGAAGATTTTTGTTTATGAAATCAAAAACATAAGATGCCCACTTTTTTGTATATATGTGTGTATGTGTGTTTTTGTGATCCCGTTCCTTCGCAACCCTAATATGGACAATTTTGCGTGTCGTAACTCTATTTAAATATGGATAAGAACTTTGTATTCTTATCCTAAAATGCTTATATTGACTTATATTTATTTTTCGTAGCTCTTGTATAGTGACTGAAAATGGATTCAGTTGAATAAAAGTCTCAATTAAGGCTTTATACAAAGTTGTCTGTAAATCACACATTAATGTAGTCCGTAAAAACACGGTTACTAATAGAACATCTAAGTCTAGCATCACAGTCTGTTACCACTTTGATCAGCCTGCTTAGGAACCGGTATCGATCCTCATTAAATTGTTCTACCGTTAAGCGCTCGACTTCGCGCGCAAGACGTCAGGCTACCAAAGCGGAGAGGATCAAAATATATTTTATGTTAAATTTATTCCTTCTGCAGAGGATCAAAATTGATGGCATGTCTTTAGATCATCCTCAGGGATGTTTCCCAAACATCACATTGTGCAGCTCTAATGCGCCGTAAATAAAGTACCACTACTGCTACGAAGCTATTGTGAATATTCCATAATTTAACAAGTTAATAATCAACTTTCATAAAATCATCAATAAATAATTAAATTTGACAGAATTAAAAAATTTTTGAGATCACTAAAATCGAAAATGCATTTGCTATGATTTTTTTTTTTTTTTTTTTTAAATTTAACTAATAAATGAGAATAAAGCTTTTTTTCATTTCATATGGAAGAAGAATGAATATCTTTTCATTTGTTGTCAGTAGCTATTTTATTGGAATATTTTGGGAAAGCATAAAGATTTTAAAGGGAATTCATAGCTTCGTTTTTGTCAAATGTAAAAAAAAGTATTTATTTTGGAAAGATTGTAATAATATTGTCTTGGTAATCAAAGATTCATCCTGTAATCCTGGTGGTCAAGAATATTGTAATGTAATCATAATAGCATAAAATAATTGGAACTTTAAATTGAAAAAAAAGAAAAGAATAGATATTCTGAATTTGATTAAGGTAATCAAAACAACAGCAACTAATAAAAATTTCCGGTAGTATTATTTTTTTTTTGCTTTTGACAAAACTAGGGAGAAATTATTAATTTTGAGTTTCCCATAGTGAAATATTACAATAATCTCTCTTTAAATAAATAAAATGTTTAAAACTAAGATCTTGTTTAATAAATTAAAATCTCCGCCACTCATTTCATAATTATTAAATTATAGTAAATTTATAAATAGTGTTATAAAGAAAATTATATATTATCAAATTAAAATCTTAATGAAAAATTCTTATATCTCTGATATTCATAAATATAAAATATATTAAATACATTTATGATATAAAATAAGCATAAATTAGATATATTTGGTTTCCTAAATGACAATAGATCTACTTTTATTTTTACAAAAATTTCTTAAACAATTCTATATTGTGATACGTGTTTTCATTTTACAAGCCTAAATTTCAAACACAAAGATAGATTTCATAAGAAAAATTTTTTACCTGATAAAATTCTTAAGAATTTCGTACAGATTGATGAAGAATGCATTATAATGAAGAATTCTGAATCTATAATATTTAAATAAGAAATAAAGTTTTGGAAGGTTCTCTAGAGTTTAAATTGTTTCTCGTTATAGCTCTTTACCAAAGCTTTCTAGTAAAGATGGCTTCATGTAAACAGTGCGAATTGTGATTACCATTTTGTCTTGACTTTTCTTTTAGTTTAATTCGCTATCAATCAACGAATTTCGTAAATAATAGCATATTTTACAAGCACATCCCTTTGTTAGCAAAACTAAGTAGATTGCTAATTTTACTTTTCTACAATATCTGAAAGAAAAAAACACAAAGCAAATATATCTCTTGTTCAAAAGGTTGCCGGTTCGAAACCGATGGTCGACACATTTAACTATATATTGCTTGTTTTATTCTAGTAAGGAGCGTCTCGCCTCAAATTTTTCAAATGCATTTCGAATTATATTTTCTCATAAATGCTAATGATAAGGTAAAACAGAAATATCTATATTGAGCAATGGTCAATCAAATTTTTTAAATTCTTTGCCATAATGTTTGTAACAATTATCTGTTTATTATGAAAATGAAATTTTCAAATGTATTTAGATAAATATTTTGTTACCTTCTGATTATTTCTGATGAAACTGATTAAAAACAAATTAAATAACTTTTAAAACAATGTTGCCGGTGAATGGCATTGTTTGATTTCAAGATTCAATGCATTGTTAATTAGAAAAAAGAAGAAAGACTGGTAGTTCCTTCCCGAATAACCTCAATTTTTATTTCAATGAGAATTTACCTCGTGATGTACCTTTTTAGAGAGAATTTGGACCATAATTTTCTGCCAAAATTATGGAGTTCATTAATTCATTATGGATTTATATTTACTAGACACCTTTACCGTGCATTTCCCGTTCCCCGAATTAAGTCAGAGAATTTATGGAACTAAGCCAAAAGTAGGAAAGCTACGAGAATAAGAATTGTAGCCGACACGAGATTTGAACCTAGCACCTCTTGAACGTTAGTTTAATGTGCTACGTGCTTTCTCAATGCGTCACCAAAACATCTCTGTTACCGCAACTTTTTTCGTCTTATTACACGTTTTTTCTCCCTCTCTTTTATTGTAAAAATTCAGGAACTATTCAGATTCATATAGCCTCAACATACGAGGGCCGGGATCATAGAGTTGAAATACTGTTTGGGAGTTGGACCCAGGTCAAGAGGTCGGAACTTCGATCACCTCCGGCCGAAGACTCCCAGTGTACAAAATGGTGACTGGTGTACGCTATATCTGTCAGGGTCGCAAATTTCTCCAAGTTCCCATAACAAATCAATACCTCTGGGGGTACTGGATCGGAGATCTATCCTGCACCTCTGGTTTAGGTCAAACTTACGGTCTGCAGATGGATGGTGTGTAAAGGTGTCCTCCAGTAAAACTGGCTATGACGTATATGTGTGGTAGAAGTCGAATTCTCGGCAATAGGTGGCGCTACTGGAAAAGTAAGAAGAATCGCACTCCCCTAGACTTAATGGCATACAACAACAACAACAATAGACATATACGAATTAAGCGCCTTAAGTATACAAATAAAGTTTTGCTCTATGTCAACATTCTTATTTTACAGGCTGCGCCATTTCCTTTTTGCTCTTCCGCTCGGTTTAGTTAAAATATAGTCTTGGTATATATAATATATTTTAATTCCGGCTTAAATTTAAAATTTATTTTTAAAAAGATAGTACATTAATCGATAAATCAGTTATTTTGGTTGACGTGTTTAAAGTTATTGCAGCTAATTCGATGTGTTCTTATTTCAGAGTGGCCAGTATCAAATGTTGTTACCGCAACTCTCAACAAACTCTTTAGGTTCTTCACCAGAGATGCGTTCCAGCCATGCTCGATCTATGAAGAAATACGATCCCTTACCCAACATATGACAACCGAATCAACGTTTTGTAAAAAACTGTACAAAACGAAAACTTTAATACTGTACAATAAAATGATATTTATGACAATCCATTGTGGTCTCACTACGCCTACTATTAACCTAAATGTGTGCTAATTAATAACAAGAGAAGAAAATGTTTCAATTTATTTTAAAATAGCAATGAAATATTTATATGTATAGTTATTTTTTATTTGATTGCAAGAAGTTAGTGGTGCATGGTGCAAAAAAGGAGTTAGTGGTGCATGATTGAGATGTAAGACCGAATAATTATATCTAATTTTAAGAGTTATAGCTTCTAATTTAACACTAGATTGCCTAAGGAAGTCATTTTGACTGCTTTTAATTTCAATTAGAAAAACAATGATGTATATAATGACACAATTTCTTAGAATTTTGTACAACATATAATTTTTTTATTGTTAATATTTACTAATAACTTGTTACATAACTGTAAATAATATAAAAAAATATCAAAAATTAATTTTAAACAAATTTCTTTACACATTTATTCTTTTACAATCCAGTCATTTTGACTGCTTTTGGGCAATATAGGTATATACTTCAAGAATAAAGTTTGTCTTTCTAGCGTTAATCGCGGGATATTCATGTTTATAGGTTTTAGATTAACATACGATTCCAACCAGTGCTGATTATTGTGGTAAAGAAATTTGATATAGTCACACTACCAGAGATGCCAACTGCTCCGCAATTTTTAAGAAATTAAAAAGTAAATTTTGTAGAATAAAGGATAATTTCGCTAACTCTTTAAAAGTCTCCCCACGAGATAATTGCTACAAAGTTGTATTCTATATAAGGTTTTAAATTCTTAAAATAAAATTTTTTAAACCACAATTAGCTTAAACTTCGCTACCACTAGAAAATATAATTTGACAAGTCTGCATCTCCGCACATCTATCAATTTAACGACTGAGGTTTTAAAAAAATATTAAAGATTAGTTTCACCCAAAAAAAGTTCTACATAACAGGCAGATGAACTCATAATAGAATTTCGCATAGATAAGTAGTCCCCCTTGTCTTCTGAGTTGAATTAAAAAACTTAAAGAAACGGATATAAAAGTTTATTTACTCTTATCTGCTACTTTGATAAGTTGTTCGTCAAGTAATAAAATCGATATTTTGTTTAGATAGTCAGCAATTCCGACGTTTTTAGGTTCGATTATTGCCTCTTTTGAAGCTATTAAATTTCAATGAAATTAATATTTCATTTCGCTCTCATTTATATTTTAAATACCGTGATTGTGACAATATTTCCCATTTCACTCGCAAACGAAATTGATTGACAATGAATCCAAAATGACTATGAAGTTTAATAAGAACATACTACACATCTGCTTTCTGAGAGTTTAGTGGCCTTCAGTAGCATAAAAACTAAATTTCGATTTACTGCAAAGGTTTAAATGAATGAAGCTCTTTATGAAAAGGGCATGAAAACACTTCCTTGGTTTTAGAATCAACAAAAGGTAAAATATCACTCTGGTCCTGCTTGTTAGCACAATAATTTAAACTATATGAGTGACTTTACCAATATTTGAGATACTTTTGATTCTCTGAAAACATTTTGTAAAAAAAATGTGAAGAAAAAAAACACTGGAATACTTCAAAGGTTACTTAATGTAACATAGGTAGAGATAATAATCTTTATATTTCATTTCATTTTTGTACTTTTTGAGGGACAAGCGAATGACAAAAAGAATACTAATATAATTCTAAAATATATGAGTTACAAGACAAAATTTTCATGAAATACAGTAAAATCTAAATCAAATTAGAAGCTATTACAGTTGTTTTAACAGCAAACACATACGAACTAAAAAGTTCAAAATTATTTATTATTTCTCATTATAGGCTATTTCTCATAAAAATTAAAAGAAATTCAAAATGATAACGAATTATTGAACGTAATAATTGAAAAAAACGTTAGTTACTTAATATATATTTATTGATAAACGTTGATTAACAGCATTTCCTCACTCATCTAATATTTAGTTAAAATTTGTAATAAGGTCCCCCAAACCTTGATTAATAAAATTGAGTTTAATAAATTTTGAAACAAAAACAAAGTGATTACATGACTAAAATTTTTCTTACATAAAAAATTTTGCGTGCTGTCCTTCAATTAAAGTTCAGATTTTTTGAATTGCTAATTGAATTATTTTTAAACTAAGCTCCGTCCTACAAGATATGTTGCTGTATTTGCTGAAAATAGTAAATGCTTATAACAATATATTCAGTATATGCTTATAACAGTATATGCTTATAACAATAAATGCTTATAACTAAATTCACTTTAATAATTAGTGAATATAAAATTGTTAATTTTGTGTTTCATAATATGTGAATAGAAAATTGTTTTTAATTCATTTTTTCATTAAATGCCAAAAATTTGAAAACTTAGTCGAAGCAGGTAGTGAGTTACCTTTTACAGAATTTGATATTACTTTTAGAAAATATAGCAAGAGGTACTTGTTTATGGAACATATATTCCTGTAAAAAAAATTCTCATTTAATGACATAGCAGAAATAAATTTAAGGTCTCTTTATAAAGGCTTTTAAAAACCAAAAAATCTTGTACTTTTCCAAAATGCCACTTGGTACCTTTATCCACTAAATACTTGGTTTTAAGATATTAGTATATAAGCCTTAAATTGAAAATTTGGCGACTGTAAAATTACAAAGTTCTATTACTATTTATTTTAACATTTAAATAAAAGGTAGATAAACATATGAAAGCAAAAAAGATCAGTGGACATGACTGAACAGATGTGTTTGTTGAAAAAATAGATAGTTAAAGAACTCTCTCTCAAATTCAATACTTTCATCATATATAAACTAAACTCAGTGGCGTGACAGCCCATAGAGGGCCAAGGCCTACTGTGCCCATCTCAGTTTTCTTGACCTTGGGCTCTGGGGTGCAGACATTCTGGTTAGGTGGTCAGCCAAAAGCGGAACCCCCAGTATTTAGTTTCCAAGCATGCTTGGTACTCATTTATCGACCCACTGAAGGGATGAAAGGCTGAGTCAATCTTGCCCGGCTCAAGGATCGAACCCAGGACCTGTGGCACGGGAGCGTGAAGCGCTACCACTCATCTTCATCATATATCGATACACATATATTAGTTTATATTTTCAGAGAAAAATAAAATCACATTTAAAGAAAACTATGAATATTTATTCTATACCTCAGATATGCAATATTAAAAACACAGAAGGGAAAAGTGGCATCCCTGATTACAGTAAAAAGAACATTTTACACAGTGAACTTGGGCATTTCAAAATGACAAAATTGATTTAAATAAAGAATTTTTACTTAAGGCTAAAATTTTGGAGAGAAAAAAATTACGCAATTGAAAAAAATTGGGTTTTTAAAAAAATTTAGAGAAATGAAAATGTAGGCAACCAAAAACTTAAAAATAGGACCAAATGGAATAAGTAAAATGGACTTAGGGACAGATAACTCTGGATTTATAAGAAGTATAGGATGATTTACAACCCTAAAAATACAAAAATTAAATAAAATCTTTGATAATATAAAGGGTGCAGATTTGAAAAATATAAATAAAGTGTATATCTTTATTACCTATTTATTTTCAACTTAAAATGTACAACTCTTAAGTTTTCAATGATCATAATTTCTAATTTCTCATAATTATAATAACAACAGAGGAGCCTTAAATAAACATAGCCAAATGAAGAAATAAAGATGAAATTTTCTTAATATTTATTAACCATAATCTGAATAAAACTGTATAATTTATAAACTAAACACAAATTAAAAAAATAGATAAAATAAGTATTGTAATAATTTTATTTACACAGATCATGCTATAAACAACAAAGGATTGAATGCGAAAAACCAACTCTATCCCTGGGAATCAAACGAAGTTCACTTCCATATTTCAGAAATACATCACCTGAAAACAATTAATAATGTAGTAATAATAAAATAATACTTCAAAAAAAAAAATTAAACCTAATTAATATAGTAAAATATAATTAATATATAGCATACAACTAATTATATACAGTATAGGTTTCATTAACTACTATGCTTGTTGTCCCACTGAATATTTTTTTCTTAGCAGTTTTAAAAAACTTTAAATTTATTCTCTTTCATAGCATGAGAGATTAGTAGACTTATTTAGGTAAAAAAAAAAATTAAATAAAACTATCAATCACTATTTTAATTTAAATTAAATAGTATTTTAAGGAAATTAGTTAAAAGGAAACTAAAAATACAGTATCAGAAACAAAAAACTAAAATGAAAATTAAGGGGGAAGAATTGCTTATGTCTATTTTTCACAAAAATGACTACTGGACAGCCATCATTTGTATTTTGAGGATTACTAAGTTTTGACGAATCAATAACATGAAAAATTGGTTCTCTCCAAGATTTATTATACAGTGAAGATAAGTCATGCTGTGGAAAAGTGGTTTTTGTCCATCTTGAATTTTGTTTTTCTCAGAACCAGTTTTAATGGACATAAACCATTCTTCCCTACAATTTTCAAATGTTTTATTCAAAATCAAAAAAAGCCACTGACACACTTTCTAACTGAGTGAAGCATTCTAAAATTACATAATAAAAGGTTTAAAAGAATGATATATTAAATATCAGGTTTGAATACCACTATCAAAACCTGGTATACCACTATCACACTTATATAGCACTATCCGGAAATTGATTTCTCCTTTGTTACCAAACAGTTCTTTAAATTTTTTAATTACTTAATTAGGATTTATAAATTGTAACACTTGTTTATAACGGAAAACTGCTTAGAAAAGAAACATTAACAGTTTTTTTTTTAAATAGTCTATGCTTTGTAGGTGAAATAGTAGCTTTTTAATACAATTATTTTTTAATAGAATTATTCAGCTTCCTAAATTTGTATTAATTATTTTGTTAATGCATCTGAGATAATTTAACTGAAATTCTTTTAATAGACCTGACATAATTTACAAAGTTTTCTTTTAAAAATATTAATCAATACCTTATTTACATGATTAAAGTAGCATAAGAAGCCTCTTTGTCCAGAACATGTAAAAACAATGAATTTAGGAATTTAGAAACAGGCTTGATGATTTTCATCATATTACGGACAAAAAAACAATAACTAAAAATAATTAAAATATAAATAAGAATTGTATAAAAAAAATTCAAATTGTAAAGAAGAATTTCATGTGTTTAATTATTTTTAAATTTAATATGTTCTTACATGACAAAAACATTTTTTTTTTCATTTCTCAATTTTAAAAGGACACTGAATTAAGAAAGACATCTATATATTTTTGCTTAAAACAGATAGATATAAAGGTTATAAAATTACCAGCATTTTGAGATGGGTTAATTCCAATTCCACTGTCAGTTATAATTGCCGTTGTTTCAGGTGTAACTTTAAACTAGAAAACAAACAAATTACTAGTGAAGAACAGATGACAAAGTCCAGTAAATAGAATTTACTCTTTCAATCTCTTATGTTTATGCAGAGTCAGATATGGGATAAATGAGGAAAAAAACAGCCTATTGCAGAATCTAAACGCTTTGCTTAAATTTTACTAATTTAGTTTAGTGAATTGCCCTCAATTGCCTCTGCAATAATTACAAATTATTTCATGGTCAAACGTCCCTGCAATCTCAAGTGCATTTTAGAATACAATCACCTTGTAAAAACTGCAAATGCATTCTTTTAAAAAAATTTTCCCCCACATCCTGGGGGAAAATGTGCTAAGTGGTAACTTGAGTTGCTATGATACAGCTAATTAATCCTTTTAAGAGTTCATTTATTTCAAGAGAGAGTATAAAATAATTTTAAAACTCGAGAGAAGAAATTAGACTAAGAAGCATACTACATAAAATTAATTTGAGTTTTACAACTTTTTTTGATTTTTATCTGTATTCCTTTATACACCACCTTTATGATTCTTTTAACTTTCCCCATTTAATTTCCCTAAAAAGTGTAATCCACAGATCCTTTATTCATCTTGTTTGCAGGGGGAAGAACAGTTTTTATATTACATCTGTCAAAACTTTGAAAAATATAAAATTCTAATTATACAGCCAAGAAAAATCAGAGTTTTTCATTCTAAACACATATGCTTAACAAAAATTTTATTTAACAAAACGGTGATCATGATTTTATAGAAGAACAGTCTTAGTATGCTCTAATATTGAAATGATTTCATTCTTGCCTATTTGATTTTAGAAAGCGGCTGATTTTATAATCCAGTTATTTCATTAGTGGTGATCACTGTACATAAAGTACACATCCAAGCCAAAAGAAATGCTAAAAAATTTAAACTAGGAATCTAAGAATCATGTTCTAAATTGGAAAGATTCGACAGATGACAAATGAGATAGAGAACTATAATCAAAGTATTCTTGGAGTAAGAGAAGCCAGATGGACTGGTTTTTGAAGCATCAGAACAGCAGAGATGATAAAACAATACTTTACTGAGGAAGTGATGATAGACATGAAGCCCTTATTCTAGATGAAAAGGTATCAAAAATATAGTCTAATCGTTTAGGAATATGAAGGGATAATTGAAGCAAGGTTTTTCCCAAAGTATACAAAACTGACTATACAAGTGTATGCTCCAACAAATAATGCAGAAGAGGAAGTACCATTTCTACGATTAGCTGCAATTAAAAAACATAATCTTTTAATCGTAATGGTAGATGCTTAAGTTGGAAAGAAAACATATGAAGATGAAAGATCTATTGGAAATGAAGCTCAAATACAGATAAATGAAAATGCGTCCTTCTGTGATTTAAATGGACTAGTCATTGGTGGAACAAAATTCAAACATTAAGAAAATCCAAAGATGACTTGTAAATCAGCAGATGGGAAAACAAAGAAGCAGATAGGAGAATTATAGCAGATAGGATATTAACGGAAAATTTGTAAGATCCATGAGGGATTTAAAAATAAGGCGAGGAGCAGATGTAGGTAGGGATAAATCTGAAACTTCAAAACCATTAAAAAAATAAAAGTAGAAGACCTATTGCATTTGACTAAACTAAAAAAACAAAAATTAAAATTATAGATTTACCATCAAACTAAAAAATAAGTTTGCTGTATCAGAAGTAAAAAATGTTGAAATTAAAAACGACAATCAAAATAAGAAAAGACTTTATTGATACTGGAAGAAACTATTGAGAAGAAAGGAAAGAAAGCAAACAAATAATGGATTACAAGCGACACCTGGAAACTAATTAAGGATTAAAAGAGATCAAATATCTTTTATATCCTACCAAGCCAGAGAGACAAGTGCAATTATATAAAGACAAACACTGATAAAAAAGTGAACAGCATGGTTCATCTAAGTAGGCCCAACCAGAAAAAAAAAAAACATCCAAATTCTTTTGGGTGGGCTAACTTAAAAAAATTCACTTTTTTCTTAAAGTGGGTTTTTCAAAAAACACTGTACTAGATCAATTGGTTTTACTTCAGAAGCAAAATAATTGTAAATTACTGTCATCTAATCAAAGACTTTTAAATAAGTGAAAATAAATTGTGCCTTTAGTTAGGATGGAAAAGTAAATTATCTGTTCATTTGGGGATATAAAACCTTAAGCATATTTTTTAATTTATATGAAACTATGATTATGTCATGAAAAAAAAAAACAGGTTTTTGATGAAAAAAATTCTGGTGGACAAGAAAAAGAACTAAAACCTTTTCAAAAAGACACCTTCACACCTTTTCAAAAAGAAAACTTAACACCTTTTCAAAAAGGCAGGAAATATTTTAAAACCTTGCTAGAAATGCAAGGAAGATAAAAGAGAGTTTTATAAGGCACTTATAGAAGAAGCATGGAAAGCTGCTGAAAGAAGAAAAATTAGGTCAATTTATCAAGCAATTAAACAAATTACTGGAAATGCAAGAAAAGAAAAACTAAATGTAAAGGAAAAACAAGGTAAATTCCTAATGAAAAGGAATCAAAACTAGATAGAGAGAACATTTAAAAAAAGTAATCTCCCATTGCGGGACAAACGGTCATGAAGATTAAGACTCCACAATTTCACAGCCAACGCCTTGATATGATAACGACAATGTTGTCAGCATTGTGCACCAGACAATTTTACTTCTCAGACAAGCTTGTAAAGCAATATGAAGGTCAGTAGGCTTCAAGTCGCCACCGAGGATTGAACCCTAGTTCATCACATTAACGAATGTTTTAAACAAATACTAAATAAATATTAAAAATGATCTTCCGACAACATGAAAAGACACTTCTATTGTCCGGAAACAAACACCAAAAAAAATTATCACTCTAGTTCAAAACTTTTATGTAGTAATAAAACTGTACTGAAAAAAAATTGGTATTTTAATTTTTAAAATGATTAAATATAAAAACAAAACTCTTGCCACCGAAGGAAAAGTAAGAACTTTTAAGCATAATAAATCTAAAATAAGGACTTTTTCAAGAGTGCTTAATTTTTGTGATGCATAATTAAGCACTTTTACAGCGTAAACCATCCCTCTAGAGGGGTTGTATCAAAAAGGGGTGCATCATTTAACCTCATATTGATTCCAGTAAAATTGGTTCAGAATGGTACCTGTGGCAGAATCGTGGCGACACTGGGACATTGTCGCAGAACATTACAGAGTTCCTGCAGAAAGATTTTTCATTACAGAAGCAAAGAAGTTTGGGTTTTTTATCAGCAGAATATTTCGAAATATTTTTTTTGTACAGAACTTTTTTCCCCTTTCTGCAGAATTATATAAAAAAAATGCCTTTCTTGCATATTGGAGGAAGAAAAAACGCTCGTAATTTTTTTTCTACTTTCTTTTGAGAATGAAAAAATTGTGCAATGATTGGCTTTAGGTAGATATTATAAAAAGTTATTTCCAAATAGCAAAAATTTAAAAAAAGGTTAACTTTACAAATATTTTTTAGAACAGGAAAATATCATCAATAATATTAGAATATGCATTTTAAAATCTAAATATAAAAATATTTAGATTTTAAAAAAATTCTTACATTTATAATTAAAAAATATATACCGTACATTCCGGCGTATAACGCGCACTTTTAATACAAAAAATAACATTGGAATTTACGGGTGCGCGGTATACGCCGAATATCAAAATTTATAGATTAAAGGTTTTCTCGCCCTCCAACATCCAAGTGTTCCACTGTTTTTTTAAATTGGCTTTAAATGGTTTGTTTAAGCAGACGTCCAATGGCTGAACTAATGGTGTCAATCCGCCCGGAATAACTGCCATACCGGTGTTACATAGTTTCAACAATTATTTTGTATTATCTGTAAGGTGGGACCGAAACATGTCCCACACTAAAAGGCTTTCTGGTTTTCTTACGCAACCAGGATGGATTTGCCAGACATTTTTTACCCACAATTTAACACCATTTTCGTCCATCCAGCCTTTTTCGTGGACATGAACAAATATACCTATTGGAAANATAAATTGTAACACTTGTTTATAACGGAAAACTGCTTAGAAAAGAAACATTAACAGTTTTTTTTTTAAATAGTCTATGCTTTGTAGGTGAAATAGTAGCTTTTTAATACAATTATTTTTTATAGAATTATTCAGCTTCCTAAATTTGTATTAATTATTTTGTTAATGCATCTGACATAATTTAACTGAAATTCTTTTAATAGACCTGACATAATTTACAAAGTTTTCTTTTAAAAATATAAATCAACACCTTATTTACATGATTAAAGTTGCATAAGAAGCCTCTTTATCCAGAACATGTAAAAACAAGGATTTTAGGAATTTAGAAACAGGCGTGATGATTTTCATCATATTACGGCCAAAAAAACATTAGCTAAAAATAATTAAAAAATAAATAACAATTGTATAAAAAATTCAAATTGTAAAGAAGAATCATAGATGTTTAATTATTTTTAAAATTAATATGTTTTTACAAGACAATTTTTTTTTTTTTTTTTCATTTCTCAATTTTAAAAGGACACTGAATTATGAAAGACATCCATATATTTTTGTTTAAAACAGATATAAAGGACAGAAATAAAGATTATAAAATTACCAGCATTTTGAGATGGGTTAATTCCAATTCCACTGTCAGTTATGATTGCCGTTGTTTCAGGTGTAACTTTAAACTAGAAAACAAACAAATTACTAGAAGTACAGATGACAAATTCAAGTAAATTTAATCTAAACGTTTTGCTTAAATTTCATTATTTTAGTTAGTGAATTGCCCTCAATTGCCTCTACAATAATTACAAATTATTTCATGGTCAAACATCCCTGCAATCTCAAGTGCATTTTAGAATACAATCACCTTGTAAAAACTGTAAATGCATTCTTTTAACATTTCTTTTTTCTCCCCCATTTCCTGGGAAAAAATGTGCTAAGTGGTAACTTGAATTGCTATGATACAGCTAATTAATCCTTTTAACAGACTTTTTATTTCAAGTGATGAAAGTATAAAATAATTTTGAAACTTGAGAAAATAAATTAGACTAAGCATACTACATGAGTTTTAACAACTTTTTTCGATTTTTATCTGTATTCCTTGATACTCCACCTCTATGATTCTTCTAACTTTCACCATTTAATTTCCCTAAGAAGTGTAATCCACAAATGCTTTATTCCTCTTGTTTGCAGGGGGTATAATATTTTTTTAGATAACATCTGTCAAAACTATGGAAAATAGAAAATTCTATTATAGAGTCAAGAAAAATCAGAGTTTTTCATTCTAAAAACATACGCTTAACTAAAATTTTATTTTACAAAACAGTGATTGTGATTTTATCGAAGAACAGTTTTAGTATGTTCTAATATTGAAATGATTTTGTTCTTGCCGATTTGATTTTATAATACAGTTATTTTATTAGTGGAGATCACAGTACATAAAGTCACTGTCCAAGCCAAAAGAAATGCTAAAAAATTTAAACATAGAATCTAAGAATCATGTTCGAAATTGGAAAGAATAAACAGATAACAAATGAGATAAGACAACTATAATCTAGGTTTCCTTGGAGTAAGAGAAGCCAGATGGACTGGTTTTTGAAGCATCAGAACAGCAGAGATAATAAGGTTAATTAGATCCCTGACCCTCCCAAATATGGGAATGAGGGAAAAATTTTCAACTAGTTGCCGTGACAGTCTCCCGCACAGCCAGAGGAGGACAGAGTATCTGGCACATGCACTGGCCGAGAGGTAAAACAATACTTTACTGAGGAAGTGATGGTAGACAGGAAGCCCTTATTCCATAAAAAGATCTAAAACCTCTCCCAAACACCTTTTCAAAAAGACACGAAATCTTTCAAACCTTGCTAGAAATGCAAGAAAGATAAGAGAGAGATATAGAAGAAGCATGGAAGGCTGCTGAAAGAAGAAAAATTAGGACAATTTATCAAGCAATTAAACAAATTACTGGAAATGCAAGAAAAGAAAAACTAAATGGGAAGGACAAACAAGGTAAATTCCTAATGAAAGAGAATCGAAACTAGATGGAGAGAACATTTAAAAAAAGTAATCTCCCATTGTGGGCCAAACGGTCATGGAGATTAAGACTCCACAATTTCGTAGACTACGGCTTGATATGATAACGGTAATGTGGTCAGTATTACGCACCAGACGATTTTACTTCTCAGACAAGCTGGCAATCCACAATATGAAGCTCAGTGGGCTCCAAGTCGCCACCGAGGATAGAATCTTAGTTCTTCACATTAATGTATGTTTTAAACAAATACTAAATAAATATAAAAAAAACGATCTCCCGACAACATGAAAAGACACTTTTATTGTCCTGAATCAAACACTCAAAAGAATTATCACTCTAGGTTAAAATTTGCATGTAGTAATAACATTGTATTTAAAAAAATTGGAATTTTAATTTTTAAAATGATTAAATATAAAAACAAAACTTTTTCCTCTGAAGAAAAAGTAAGAACTTTTAAGCATGATAGGTAAATCTAAAATAAGAAATTTTTTAAGAGTGCTTAATTAGCTTAATTAAGCGTTTTTAGGGCGCAAAACCATCCATCTAGTGCAGAGAATTAATTATCGTAAAAATTCTCAAAAAGGGGTGTATCATTTAGTCTCATATTGATCCCAGCCAAATTGTTTGGAAAAATACAGATCAACAGATTGAAAATACACTTCGTGAAGAACAAGTTGGTTTAGAAGTTGTCCGCGTGGCAGAATCGTGGCGACATTGTAGCAGAACACTACCAGAGCTCCTGCAGAAAGATTTTTTATTATGAATAGCATTTCAAAACATTTATAAATATCATTAAAGAATTACTGATTCAAAGTGAAGCAAATAAGAACTCTGACAGAGCCTTTAAGCATTGAAACCGGGATTAAATAAGAGTGTGTGATGTCAAGGTTATAGTTCGTAATCATAATTGATTGCATAATGAGAAATACAATCCAAGATGCAAAAAAGAGGAATAAGATGGAACTTTACTAGAAAATTTAGATTTTGATTAATTTGTAAGCAAATTAGAAGAACTACAATCCAAGACAACTATTTTGTAAAATTATGCAGAAAACTGATTGGAAATAAATAAAAACAAAACGATGAGAATAAATGGCAGGCTCAGGGTCGAAGTGAAAATTAAGGTAAAAATAAGGCTAATAATAATAAGGCTAATAAAAATAAGGTAAAGGCTGTGGAAAGAATTTCATATCTCTGTGCAATAGTTGAAAGGAAGGGGGAACAGATGCAGCAATAGGAGTAAAAACTTCAAAATTCCAATATTGCTTAAAAAAATTGACGAAGGTTTTGAGATCAAATAATTTAATGCAGTGGTACGGAGTGTACTATTATATAGGTCAAAAACATGGAAACTAAAAAAAACTGCAGAATAAAAAACCAAATAGTTACCAAAACAGATGCTTAAGAAGCATTCTAAAAATATTGTCTCAACCCACATCAAATTCAAGCCTCACAAAACCAGATTAAACCAAACAGAAACCAATCACCCTTAATATGAAAAGAAAATGATTAAAAAAAGGAGACAGACCTATGCCAACATGGAGGAGACAAGTAGAAGAAAAAAAGCAGGTGGGATGAACTAGCTGGTTTCAGGTAATATCCTGCGATGCTAACTGAATGAGTTGGCACAGGAAATTAAGGGCTTTATGTGCCACTGGCCATAAAAAAGAGGATAATTTACTACTGTATAAGATTTCATTATTGATATCTGACTATATTAATGCATTTGATTGTTAATATATTTGATTGTTGGTATTGTTATTAATATATCCGATTATTGATATAAAATTAAAATTCAATTTAAATCTCAATTGAAATAAATGAAATAAAATTATGAAAAATGTTTACACATCACATTACATTTTATTACACATCACATTAAATGTTTACACATCACACCCTTTCTATTTCTACTTCTTTTTTTTTGAGCAATGAAAAAAATATAATAATGATAATATGTAGTAATGAAATAATATTAAAAAAATAAACAGACACAGTATAAAAATTAATGCTGCAATAGTATACAATTGATACTCAATAATAAATAAATCTATGAAATATCCCTATAATATTGTATAAAATAACTTCTGTTTCGTACCAATGATTTTCCTTTTACAGATAAATTTTAACAATTAAACACCTGAACAAGCACACAAAAAAGGTGATTACACTAATAAATACATAATTAATAATTAAACTTAAAAAATGAAATACCTCTTCAGCTGCAAATTTTAGAACAGCAGTAAATGGTGTATTCTCTGGTACACTTAGACTAAAAAGAATAAAAAAAAACATTTTAGTTATGATGCTTTTTTTATTTTCAGATCAAAAGAAAGAATGATATTTATTGTTTACAATGTACTGTAATGCTATACAGTCCATGCTCTTTATCAATCTTCTTCAAGAGGGAAATCATGGTAAAACCTTACCCTGGTACTGGGGCTTTTTTAGTTTTATTTCTGACTTTTATTTTCCCTTTGTTGTTGACAACCTTACATTTCATATTTTAAACCGTTTTTGCTTTTTCTGATTCATGCCTGGAAAGTCATAAGGATGGGCGTCTATTTTTAATCGTCTGAAGCTTTTATTTTCGTATGCATAATATTGAAGCTAATGAAGTTTTCAATCTAGTAAAATCTTACTTCTTCAGTTTCTTAGGATTATTTTTTTAACAGAGGCCTATATTTATAATGCCAATTACTTGGACAACAGAGATGATTAAATTGAGTGTATATGGTATAATTATATCTTTCAAAGTTTTACTCACTTTGATATTCTATTTAACAATGTAGCTAATATAGTAATCTTTGCTATCATCTTAAATAACACTAGAGATTATTGGTTTAGCATCAAAGTTGCAGTTTAAAAGGTTTCTCAAGATAATTAAGAGATATTAGGTTTCTCAAGAAACTGCAACAAATTTCTAATGCTCGTGATGCTCTGTGAATAAAATATGCAGAGTTGGGTTTTTGACATCAAAATCTGACTTTTGAGATGGCACACCAAAAAAATGCCAAAACGGTGGGGCAGGTTTTTCATTTTGACATATAAAGATAATTGCTTGAACATAATTGATTCAGCACCTGTAATTTTTTATGTATGTTTATTTACATATACTTCATTTTTTATAATAGCTAATAATTATATTTACACCAAAATTTTGGGTTCTTGTCTTTTGTCAAATAGCATTGACATTTGGATTTTTGACATGACACATAAAACCATGGTTAAAACTGAAAAAAAAACCGTCGATTGTCAAAAACTTGCCAACCTTGAAAATATGTCAATCCAGTGGCATTGCTAGTGAAATTATACTCTAACTTATATTGGAAATTTATTTTTTTTACTTTAGTCTAGTAATGTCACAGCCCATTGCTAGAGAGAACACTCATCACTAGATGGCGCAGTCATCTAGTGAAACGTCAAACTTTGTAATATTTCTTATTTTATATTGTTAAAATGTTCTGAGTAAATCATTTAAATTTTAATTTTAAATGTAATTCCAATAAATTAATTTTCATTAAAAATACACATGAAAGTGAGAACTTGTAGAAGAATTTCATAAAACTAAAGTAAAACCTTCGCCTGAAAGCCTTTGTAGTCTTATGTAACTTTTCCCCCGGCTCTTAAATTGTTCTCAGTATTAATTTATAAACCACTTTTAGCCGGTGAACCCAAAGTTCTGATTCTCTGCATAAGATGATAATTAAAACATACATAGTTCTTTAGTAACTGTTTTATAGGTTTTTTAAGGAAATAAAAAGAGAGATAAATGAATAAAATTAAAATACAGTAAAGAAACAAAAATATATACACTAAAAATGCAAACACTTATGCTAATGAAAAATGTTTTAGCAATTCATAAAAATATTTTGGTATGGGGCTCAATTAGAAAAACAATGAGCTATCACTGTAAAGGATCTGGGTTATCCTCAATAAGAACTTTTAACCATTCAAGATTAACTTTATTCAGAAAACAGGGGGGGGGGAATTAATAAACTAAAATTAACAAACAAATATATAGGTATCTCTTTTAAAAAAGAAAAAATCATGAGCTCCTTTTGTTTTATGTGATCTACTTAAGTTACATTATGTTTAGTCGTACAAAAACTGTACAATTCAGAAACTTTAAATTACATAGCTGTGTAGAAAATTTTAATTGTAGTAGGATGGAATAAACATTAACATTTAATTTTAATACCCATTGTTACTGAAAATACTCATTGTGTGATGAATCCTATATTCTTAAGTTTACATATTTTCTTCTAATTACAGTTGTTTAATCTTTAAAAGATGGGTAATAGTTCACTTGTAACATAATTAATAAATTAACAAAATTTCTTAAACAAAATTACAATAATAATATATTTTATTAAAAAATGATCACATATTTTTTTAAAAAATCATCGACTCTTGACAATTTGCTGGTATAACTCATGATCCAGAATAGCAGTTGCTATCATGCACTGTAGGGAAAAAATTCAGGGGGGGGAAAGTAAAATAAATACTAGCAAGCCGGTTAAAAAGCAAAACGTGTAAAAAGTGGAACCTCCTATTGTACACTAAAATTGTAAATGATTACGATAATGCCAACAGTAATTTACAAAAATATTTTTTATTTTTTGTATTATGTTTAGAACAGTGGGTACTTTACATCATCAAGGAATGACTAAATTTAAAAAACAAAAGGGGTGAGATTAATGAATTAAAATCAGTAAAACTACAAATATATGCAAAGGCTTATGCTAATGCCTTAGAATTTCATTAAAATATTTTGGTATCATATTCAGTTCTGATTAGTTATCATCTGCACCTGTTTTAGAGAATTTTTTTTTCTTTGCCAAGAATGACGATATTAAAAGCCAATGTTGATTGTACTGGCACATATAGACTTGCACTTGTCCTTTGAAAAATTATTAATTTAAAAAGTAATAACCTGGAATGCACCATCGTTTTTAACTTCATTATTTAGTAAAACTCTAGAGATTTAAATAATGAGGTCTTTCAAATTTATTGACTAGCACAATTTATTCACTAGCACATGAGATCTTTCAAATTTATTGACACTTTCTCATGTATCAAATTTAGAAACTAGTTTCAAGCAAATTATATACGCTACTTAAATTAAATACTTACACTTTGAAAGGTAACTTCGGATCAGATGTCAAAGTTATTTTGAATGTAACTTTAGACCTAAAAAAAAAAATTGGTAATTAACCAAAATTTTATGTAATTGAACAAATGTAAAAATTTAATTATTATTCCATAAATATATAAATAGAAAAAATTGTAAAAGGTGTTGAGCTTTCAAACTACTGGCACAAAAAATGAGAAGAAATTGAATGCAAAAAAAAAACAATTACGCCAAGCACGCATAAAAGAAATCAATTAGTGGAGTGCTAGGTTGTCTAACTATTTTTAATTACAACTATTTCTAATCACAAAATACTCACATGGCAAGAAATATAACTTCAAGTAACTGCTTCTAAAATGATTTCCTGAAAAAAAAAGGAGACTTTAAACAACGAGAAAACTTATGTGAGACATTATTACGTAAAAAAAGCAATAGGGAAATAAATACTTAATATATACAATTCTAACAATATATATATATTTATACATTTTTGTTTCGTTACAATAAAAACAAATGAACATGAACTACAAAAATCGTAAATGATGGCAATATGTGAGAAGCACAATGACTAAAAAAAATACTACTATAAAACAATAATATAAGAAATAGAAAAAAAATCAAACTAAATAGTCTAAAATGATTTATTAAATACATAAAAAAAACTCTAATTCATAAAAATTGACAATACCAGAAAACCACGTCAGTGAAAATGGAACTAGATCTATCAATGAAAACAATCAACCATCAAGATCAACAATCATAAGAAACTACAAATACAGTTAAAAAGGCAAAACAGAAAGAAGAAAAACATTTTTGCTTCATTTTACGGATTATTCTCACTGTACACTGTGATTTGAGATCCTGATTGGTGATATAAATTCTCAAAATTTTGCTAAAAATAAAAACTCAGTAATTAGCTTTTTATTTGCATAAAGTGTGAGCGAGCTCTTAAAGAAATTGAAGATGCGACATGAGTAGCTGATTAGCAAGTTTTTAGCAGATCAGTTCTTGTTTATACAGATCAAAATTTAGTATTTCACCATCCAGTTCGTCACAACTCTGGATTTTAATACTAGGTATACAGTGTAAACGGTCCTTAAAGTAGAAGATTTCGAAAGGACCATTCTCGCTGATTGGGATTTTTTTTTAAACGAATGAGAGTCAGCTGATTAGTAAAAATTATGGAAGAATCTGAAAAAGATGGAAGAATCTGTGTGGGCGGACTGATACCGTTCAAAGATCTTTGGGAAGTTATGTAATATTCCGCTAAACACCTTTTTCCCTAAATTTTTCACCACCGAAAGAGAACCTCATTGGCGATCATTTTGGGGATACATATCTTCCGCCAATTCGGTTCCGATTCGCAAGCAAAAAAAATTGCAAGCTATGATCCTTATTACCCTACGTGTGGTCTTATCACCCTCTGAGCATTCACCCACCTTCTAGCATCCAACCATAGGCTTCAGAAGGTCCATCCTAAAAATTCCCTAGCCTAGCCTGAAAATATTTAATTTTAAGAATGTAAGCTATGAATAATTTAAAAAAAAATTTTTTTTCCTGCAACAGAATTATTAAACTTCTTTTTTTTTTCTAGGTAATAATTAAGAACAGCAGAAAAATTTTTCCCTTACAAGTTTATCCTCTTAGCTGGGAACATTGGCGATCGAAATGGGCTGCAGGTGGCGTAGAGCAGAACTCTCTTCCTATGGCAACACTTCACATGCTTTCACCATTAGCGTGTGGAAAGTCATAGAGGAAGGAAGTATGTTAGTTTCTCTCTCGATTTTCATATAGATTAAAATCTTTTAATTTGGAAAACTATATGGAACTGAAAACTACATTAAACATAGTTCTAAGGAACAGTATCACGGAAATTTTAAAAAATTGTTTTATTAAATAAAAGGGAAAAATATTAAAAAAAGGGAAAATAGCGTAGTACATTCCTATACAACTGAAAAGAGGAGGAGAGGGAAGGAAGAAGGGCTGAAGGCATGAAACCGATCACTCCCCAGATGGCGTATTCGAGTGTTGCGATCGCCAATAAATTGAAATTATCTTCATACTCTCTATTTTCAAATAGAAACTTATGACGTATTACCTTCAATGAAACTAGTTCGTACCCCTCCCCGACCTTTAGAAACAAATTTCCGTTTCCCAGCAAAAAAATGGGTTTCCTTTTTCATATGTTCTCGTCCCAAAATATTTAGCGACGTTAGAATATGTCGATTGTTTATTTCTATGAAATTTCGTGTTTTCTCATTTGATTTAAATTACTGTCAACAGCAGCGTTTGAGGGCGTCATTTGGCGGACACTTTTAATGACTTTTTTTTTTACATAATATTTCGGTTTAAAGGAGAACTTTGATATTAATATCAAGTCAAAGGATAGGTGTTAAAATTTCTAAAAACATATTGATATGCTAAAATATATTTATGAAATTATTTTATTTAGTTTACGTCACTCTATATGTTAGCATAGTTGTCGCTAAAATTGATGATGATGCAAATATAATATGAGGCGGGTAAAAAAATTCTGTGTAGCCTGCATTTAATGTCTAATTTGTCCTACTTCAGTTATTTGCATTTTATTCCTTTGTTTTCTAATTATTATTAATAACTGCGCTTTAGGGGGATCCTTTCTCAGACACTTCAATGATTTTTTATAATTTTTAGGTTAAGAAGGGAACTTTTATACTAAAATCAAGCCAAAGTATATGTGTCAATATTTCTAAAAACATATACATATGCTTAAAAATATTTATGAAACGTTTTTAAAAATAAATATTTTGTCCTTGTTGTACTATATAGTTAGCACATGGGTTGCTTAAATCGATGATGATGCAACTATGATATGGGGCGGAGGGATACATTCGGTGTATACATTTATACAGTAGTATACATTTTATGTATACTACTGTCTATTTCTTTTATTGGTATTGCTCTCATTTGTTTTTTAATTATTATTAACAGCTACATATGAGGGGGTCATAAAGACGGACTCTTTAATGATTTTCCTATAATTTTCTGGTTTAAAACAGAACTTTGATATTAATATCAAGTCAAAGAATAGTCTAAATATTCTAAAAACATATACATATGACCAAAAAGGTTATAAAACATTTTAAGAAATTTTTTATTCTGTCTTTGCCTCTTAGTAAGCTCAGATTTTGCTAAATTCGATTATGATGATTGAAATAAGATGTGATTTGAATTATACGATTCGCTGTAGCCTACATCTAAAGTATACTATTGTCTATTTAGGTTATAGGAATTACTCTCCTTTGTTTTCTAATTATTATTAATAACTGCGTTTTAGGGGGTTATTTCCCGGACATTTTAATGAATTTTTATAATTTTTTTGTTTAAAAAAGATTTTTGATATTAATACCAATTCATTGTATAGGTTACATATGCTAAGAAATATTTATAAAACAATTTAAAAATTTTTTTTATTTAGTACTCGTCCTCTATATAGTTAGCACAGATGTCGCTAAAATCGACGATGATGCGATTATGATATGAGACTGGGTAACAAAAATTTTTGTAGCCTAGATTTCAGGTATACTAGATTTATGTCTCTATTGCTGTTATAGACCGATGTTTTCAAATTATTATTAATAGGTACGTTTGAAGAGGTTAGTTAGCGGACACTTTAATGACTTTTGCTAATTTTTTTGCTCAAAAGATAACTTTGATATTAATATCAAGTCAAAGGATAGGTGTTAAAATTTTCAAAACATATACATATGATAAAATGTATTTATAAAATATTTATAAAATCATTTTATTTTGTTTTTGTTACTCTATATAGTTAGCACAGTTGTCGCTAAAATCAATGATGAGGAAATTATTAAAGGAGGCGGATAAAATTTTTTTTGTATGTCCTACATTTAGTTTACAATACGTTCTACTTCGGTTACAGGCATTTTTCTAATTATTATTAATAGCTGCAATTTAGGGGGCGCTTTGGAAAGAGACTTAAATTATATTTAATAATTTTTATGTATAAATTAGATGTTTGATAATAATATCAAGTCAAAGGATATGAGTCAAAATTTCGACCAAAAGTAACAAAAAAAAGGGGGGAAAGAACGCAAGTTATGAAAAAAGAACGCATTGCTAGTTATAAATCTTAACATTTATAGCGAAATTCTTAAAAATTGAAAATTTGCTTAATAAAGAGCAATAATAACCATTACCTATTTGAATTGTTAAAAGTGTCATCATCCAGTAAAATTACTTGTCATTTATTTCTTTTTATTGAGTCACACAATCTGTATTCACTTGGTAAAATTTTATTTTTCTCAAGCTCAGATGCTTATTTTTTTTTAAAAAAATTTAAGTAATCGTCCATTACGTTATGATTAACATATGTATTAACAAAATGAATAAAGCTGATAATGAATAAACAGGGGCTCGCGCTAAGGATTCAAAATTATTAGCCAGTAAATAAGCCAATTATAAAAAGTATTCGCCAATTTTCGAAAGTCTTCGCCAAATGCAAATTTTAGCAATTTTTTATGATTAATTTTTTTTCTCGTAGAAAACTATGTTACGATAGTTTGTTTCAGGCTTATATAATTTGGATCCAATTCTAATTGGTTTAGCGGTGCATCTACTAAAAATCACTGAAATCAAACAAAAAACACTAATTTGTTTAGAGAAATCCATTTTGACTTAATTTTAATTTCTTTCCAGTGGAATAAATGATTCGCCAATACAAAATTTTTTTCCCTAAATTAACGATTTGATCGCATTTGGCGAGGTGGCGAAGCTCAGCGCGGTCCCAGAATAAATAACTGATAATAGATATTAAACGAATAAATTACATAAAAACATAAGAATCGTAGATTTTGAAAACAAAATATTCCAGGTCTTTGGGGAAAGTATTGACGTTTAACGGAAAGCAAACATAGAATGAGAAGCAATTGCGAGCTTTCGCGAGTATAACTTCCTAAAAAATAAATTTAAAATATGAATTTGAAGTCTGAGGACTTCGCATCCTGCTTGCCATCGCTCTACAACTTCCAACGCTCATTTCAGCTCGAGCCTTGTTACACGTCTTAGAATTTATTCATAAAATCCTTTAAACATGACATTGATTATATTAAAGGCTACTACCGATAAAGTGGCGAGAAATCAAGCAAAATGGAGTGAAATGATATTAATTTATAAAAAATGTGCGATTTTATTAATTGCTTTATCCAAAACTAGATAAATATTTAAACAATGTAAGAAGTATTATTCTTATACGGACGTAAGAGTCCGTGGTGCTGCAAAAGACGATGATTCTATTACTATAATTGCATTAAAATTTTATTATTCAGTTTTCACTAAACTAAATTTCACGGTGGAAAAAAAAATGTGTCGTAAAATATGTAAAATAAAAATATTTGCCCCCTGCTCGCTGTAGCTCACCGATCCTCAGAACTGCTTGTGCAGTTTTTTCCAGATCACTTTGATCGTTCATTTCCTCGGTCCAAATTTTAAAATAACATACAAATATTAAAAAATTCAAGATAAACACCAAAAAGAAAAATAGAGTTGTTTCGAATTCTTTTTCATCCATTTGTTCCTTTAACGTTTTTTTGGGCATTAATAAAGTTTAAAATTTACAATACAAATCCTGCAAGCAAATAAAATTAAAGACTACGCAAGTTTAGTATAAAATAAAAATTCGAATCGAAAAGCCATAATAGAACCGAAAAGTCAATTCCAAAAGTTTTAAAAGAATAATTTGCTCTTTTAACTTGTACCTGGTAGTAAACGTTTGAATTATCAAATATAACCTGAAAGAAAATA